ATTTCGGTCATTTTGGGATGGGTGTGGCCCCTGGGAGTGGCCCGAGTGGGTTGAGAGGTCAAAACTTGATTTTTAAGTTGGTTTGGGACAGGCAGAACCCATTTTTAAACTAAAACATGTCCCACCTACCCCGGAACATAAAAGCACTACAGGGGTAAAGATTTTAAAGTCTGGATTTTAGCTGGATTTCGGTCATTTTGGGATGGGCGTGGCCCCTGGGAGTGGCCCGAGTGGGTTGAGAGGTCGAAACTTGATTTTTTCCTTTTCACCCTTTTGAAAAAAGGCAATAGTGAAAGGTTACGAATGGACGTTTTTGCAGAAAAACGTGGATTTTGGGGATTGCAGTAGGTGGGTCAAATATATGTCGTGTTCCTTACTTACTTACTTCCGTTCGTTACCATGTAAACTTGCCGCGCGCACGCGCGCGAGGATTGCTTGCGGAGATGTGGTGTATAGCTAGTCTGTGGTCAATGAATGCGCTGCGCACGAGCGTATTTTAATGTATACTAGTAATGTATAATATTTTGTAATAAGCCCAACTTGAACGTGGCACGAGTAGTGTACTGATGGTTCAATATTATTATTATAAGGTGAGCTGATTAGAGCTTATATTAATAGTTATAGTGAAATGGAAATCTAGCGTCCGCCAAAACGGGCGCAATTCTTGTTATGACTTTATGATGGTTTGGGACAGGCAGAACCCATTTTAAAACTAAAACATGTCCCACCTACCCCGGAACATAAAAGCACTACAGGGGTAAAGATTTTAAAGTCTGGATTTAGCTGGATTTCGGTCATTTTGGGATGGGTGTGGCCCCTGGGAGTGGCCCGAGTGGGTTGAGAGGTCAAAACTTGATTTTTAAGTTGGTTTGGGACAGGCAGAACCCATTTTTAAACTAAAACATGTCCCACCTACCCCGGAACATAAAAGCACTACAGGGGTAAAGATTTTAAAGTCTGGATTTAGCTGGATTTCGGTCATTTTGGGATGGGTGTGGCCCCTGGGAGTGGCCCGAGTGGGTTGAGAAGTCAAAACTTGATTTTTAAGTTGGTTTGGGACAGGCAGAACCCATTTTTAAACTAAAACATGTCCCACCTACCCCGGAACATAAAAGCACTACAGGGGTAAAGATTTTAAAGTCTGGATTTTAGCTGGATTTCGGTCATTTTGGGATGGGCGTGGCCCCTGGGAGTGGCCCGAGTGGGTTGAGAGGTCGAAACTTGATTTTTTCCTTTTCACCCTTTTGAAAAAAGGCAATAGTGAAAGGTTACGAATGGACGTTTTTGCAGAAAAACGTGGATTTTGGGGATTGCAGTAGGTGGGTCAAATATATGTCGTGTTCCTTACTTACTTACTTCCGTTCGTTACCATGTAAACTTGCCGCGCGCACGCGCGCGAGGATTGCTTGCGGAGATGTGGTGTATAGCTAGTCTGTGGTCAATGAATGCGCTGCGCACGAGCGTATTTTAATGTATACTAGTAATGTATAATATTTTGTAATAAGCCCAACTTGAACGTGGCACGAGTAGTGTACTGATGGTTCAATATTATTATTATAAGGTGAGCTGATTAGAGCTTATATTAATAGTTATAGTGAAATGGAAATCTAGCGTCCGCCAAAACGGGCGCAATTCTTGTTATGACTTTATGATGGTTTGGGACAGGCAGAACCCATTTTAAAACTAAAACATGTCCCACCTACCCCGGAACATAAAAGCACTACAGGGGTAAAGATTTTAAAGTCTGGATTTAGCTGGATTTCGGTCATTTTGGGATGGGCGTGGCCCCTGGGAGTGGCCCGAGCGGGTTGAGAGGTCGAAACTTGATTTTTATGATGGTTTGGGACAGGCAGAACCCATTTTAAAACTAAAACATGTCCCACCTACCCCGGAACATAAAAGCACTACAGGGGTAAAGATTTTAAAGTCTGGATTTTAGCCGGATTTCGGTAATTTTGGGATGGGCGTGGCCCCTGGGAGTGGCCCGAGTGGGTTGAGAGGTCGAAACTTGATTTTTATGATGGTTTGGGACAGGTAGAACCCATTTTTAATCTAAAACATGTCCCACCTACCCCGGAACATAAAAGCACTACAGGGGTAAAGATTTTAAAGTCTGGATTTAGCTGGATTTCGGTCATTTTGGGATGGGCGTGGCCCCTGGGAGTGGCCCGAGCGGGTTGAGAGGTCGAAACTTGATTTTTATGATGGTTTGGGACAGGCAGAACCCATTTTTAAACTAAAACATGTCCCACCTACCCCGGAACATAAAAGCACTACAGGGGTAAAGATTTTAAAGTCTGGATTTAGCTGGATTTCGGTCATTTTGGTATGGGCGTGGCCCCTGGGAGTGGCCCGAGTGGGTTGAGAGGTCGAAACTTGATTTTTATGATGGTTTGGGACAGGCAGAACCCATTTTTAAACTAAAACATGTCCCACCTACCCCGGAACATAAAAGCACTACAGGGGTAAAGATTTTAAAGTCTGGATTTAGCTGGATTTCGGTCATTTTGGGATGGGCGTGGCCCCTGGGAGTGGCCCGAGTGGGTTGAGAGGTCGAAACTAGATTGTTATGATGGTTTGGGAGAGGCAGAACCCATTTTAAAACTAAAACATGTCCCACCTACCCCGGAACATAAAAGCACTACAGGGGTAAAGATTTTAAAGTCTGGATTTTAGCCGGATTTCGGTAATTTTGGGATGGGCGTGGCCCCTGGGAGTGGCCCGAGTGGGTTGAGAGGTCGGATCTTGATTTTTATGATGGTTTGGGACAGGCAGAACCCATTTTTAAACTAAAACATGTCCCACCTACCCCGGAACATAAAAGCACTACAGGGGTAAAGATTTTAAAGTCTGGATTTAGCTGGATTTCGGTCATTTTGGGATGGGCGTGGCCCCTGGGAGTGGCCCGAGTGGGTTGAGAGGTCGAAACTTGATTTTTATGATGGTTTGGGACAGGTAGAACCCATTTTTAATCTAAAACATGTCCCACCTGTACCTACCCCGGAACATAAAAGCACTACTGGGGTAAAGATTTTAAAGTCTGGATTTAAGCCGGATTTCGGTAATTTTGGGATGGGCGTGGCCCCTGGGAGTGGCCCGAGTAGGTTGAGAGGTCGAAACTTGATTTCTATGATGGTTTGGGACAGGCAGAACCCATTTTTAAACTAAAACATGTCCCACCTACCCCGGAATATAAAATCACTACAGGGGTAAAGATTTTAAAGTCTGGATTTTAGCTAGATTTCGGTCATTTTGGGATGGGCGTGGCCCCTGGGAGTGGCCCGAGTGGGTTGAGAGTTCGAAACTTGATTTTTATGATGGTTTGGGACAGGCAGAACCCATTTTTAAACTAAAACATGTCCCACCTACCCCGGAATATAAAAGCACTACAGGGGTAAAGATTTTAAAGTCTGGATTTTAGCTGGATTTCGGTCATTTTGGGATGGGCGTGGCCCCTGGGAGTGGCCCGAGTGGGTTGAGAGGTCGAAACTTGATTTTTATGATGGTTTGGGACAGGCAGAACCCATTTTTAAAGTAAAACATGTCCCACCTACCCCGGAACATAAAAGCACTACTGGGGTAAAGATTTTAAAGTCTGGATTTAGCTGGATTTCGGTCATTTTGGGATGGGTTTGGCCCCTGCGAGTGGCCCGAGTGGGTTGAGAGGTCGAAACTTGATTTTTATGATGGTTTGGGACAGGTAGAACCCATTTTTAATCTAAAACATGTCCCACCTACCCCGGAACATAAAAGCACTACAGGGGTAAAGATTTTAAAGTCTGGATTTTAGCCGGATTTCGGTAATTTTGGGATGGGCGTGGCCCCTGGGAGTGGCCCGAGTGGGTTGAGAGGTCGAATCTTGATTTTTATGATGGTTTGGGACAGGCAGAACCCATTTAAAAACTAAAACATGTCCCACCTACCCCGGAACATAAAAGCACTACAGGGGTAAAGATTTTAAAGTCTGGATTTAGCTGGATTTCGGTCATTTTGGGATGGGCGTGGCCCCTGGGAGTGGCCCGAGTGGGTTGAGAGGTCGAAACTTCATTTTTAGGATGGTTTGGGACAGGTAGAACCCATTTTTAATCTAAAACATGTCCCACCTACCCCGGAACATAAAAGCACTACAGGGGTAAAGATTTTAAAGTCTGGATTTTAGCCGGATTTCGGTAATTTTGGGATGGGCGTGGCCCCTGGGAGTGGCCTGAGTGGGTTGAGAGGTCGAATCTTGATTTTTATGATGGTTTGGGACAGGCAGAACCCATTTAAAAACTAAAACATGTCCCACCTACCCTGGAACATAAAAGCACTACAGGGGTAAAGATTCTCGATCTGGATTTTACCAGGATTTCAGTCATTTTGGGATTGGCCAACTCTGTGAGTGGCTTGAGTGGTTCAAGAGCTTAAAACTTGGTCTTTGTGATCGTTAGGGATATGTAATACCTATTTAACCACCAAACATATTTCAAATACTCAGCGACACAAATCCCCTTCAGGGCCCAGGGGTAAAGATTCTCATTCTGGATTTTTAGGGATTTGTCACAGATTTTTAGCTATTTGGGATGGGCGGCCTGAGTGGGGTGGATGTGTTACTTAGATTTTCATATCTTATAAGTGTCTTTAAAAGTATAAGTACGAGCAGTTTATTGAGACTTCTGACTTATACCGTCGTACTACGACTCTACGACTTGTAGATTCTACAATGATAAATATTGTAAAGTACGTGCGGCGCGCAAAATCCACTACAAAATCCACTACAAAATTCAGGGAAACGTCTTCTGTAATGAGCAACGTCAGGAACGACGCGTACACTAGCTTCAATATTTGCGCGCAGGGACTGATCGACTGATGCGGATTCGCTCGCTACCCTGGTATAACATGAAATTATATCGATATCTAACCCTCGATATTAACTTTTTGAGGCCTCGTCTCAAAAGCCATGAATCGGATAAAATCCTCGGTAAGATACATTGAGACATATTTTATATTCCATTTTTCAGGTATTATTTGTGGAGCGGAAGCGGTGTCACCCAACCATGCAATCAGAAAAACCAGGGTCATGCTCAGAAAACCGTGGAAGAATTTCGAACTTGCACGAGGAATGAACGCTCTGAAATATTTCTACGACTTAACTTTAGGTAAAATAATGTGCATAATTTCAAGAAACGTGAATATATTATGTTCATAGATCTGCTGCGGTGTTATTACGTACAAAATTTTGTAGCATTACCGCGTTATGATTTAGCATCAGATCTCCTTACACTCACTCCTTACACTGACTCCTTACACTTACACTCCCTCCTTACTCCTTATCCCACTAGATGCGCAAGAGATGGAGATGTCATGGGGTCCTTGTCTGGAGCCGTCCTACCAGTTCTTTGGACAGTGTATTGATAAAATAACAAAGGTATACAACTTTCATCTACTATTCAGCGCGCAAGAACAATTTTATTGGATAAACTTTGAATTATTAAGAAGAGCGTGTGCGACCGATTTTAGATGTGTAATTAGTAATAATTGATAAGTATTGAATATTGTTCTCACCCCACAGAAATCCCGAGACCCGTCCCCACTGCTGCCCTTCTGGGACAAAGCTAGAAACCTACTTAGAGGCAGTTTTGAGCTGCGATCACAAGTGTTTGTTATGAAGGCGCTGAGTGAACGTGAACCACTGAACAACTCCGAGTACCTCTCCCTCTGTTCAACTGGTTACAACTTCAAGTGGACCAATGGTTAGTGATCTTCTTACCTTGATTTTAGTTCACAAATTGAGATATAAAACGTTTCTGAAGCACAGATTTATATATAAAAAGCTTTTCGATCTCCTTGGTTTGACCACTGACCAAACATAACTGTTTAATGTTTATAATGAAACGTGAATTTGAATGCCCCCAATTGAATTGGTTGGTTTAGAAGATTTCTTTGATCTTAAAGCTGGTTCCTTTAGAATTATAATAACTAAACTAACAGTTAATTGTTTTGAATGACACCTCAACTTGTCACAAGAGCACCTTTATTTAAACTGTTTAATATATGTCGTCTGATTAAACGATTATTTCAATAAAGTGTCTGATTCTGTGACAGATAATTAAATTTCATTGCCTCTGGGTAAAGCACCTTATATACTATAATACATACTGCAAAGACTGGCATAATGAATAAAGAGTCTCAAAAATGTTGTAAATTTGAACATGTGGCATTTTCGTAATCCTTCATAGATAAGAGAATGTCCAAAAATTCAATCTTAAAAATTCTTAAAGTTAAACCTAAACCTGTTGCAGGTCAGTTAACATTTGACGGTGACACGGTGATAAAGAACAACTCTGAAAGTAAATACGGGGAATGTAAGATCGTGACCTTACCTCGGCTCTTGTTCAGTGTGGGAATGTTCTGGAGAACTCCCAACAACATGCCCAACGACCATTGGTCCTGTGTTCCGTACGACCCCAAGTTTGTTAAGACACAAGAGGAACCCTGGGACTCCTTTAAGAACTTCAGATCAAAGCATTTAGATCTGGATGTGTCTATGAAGTTTGCTAAAACAGAGGGAGATTCAGAACCTTATCCCAAGGTGAACTTGTACAGTAATACTCTGAAATGGCTGGACACGTGGGCGTCTGTAGTGGTCGGTACTGTCTCCAGGCCTGTCTTCAAAGGGTCACTCTGGAAGAATCTCAAACCTCCTAAGAAAAAACTTACCCGTCACTACCGTAAAATTCATTTTGAGACAGATTTCGACATGGCAGAAGTAGAGATCTGGTCGTCTTACAGAAAGAGAGCAGGAGCTAAGATCACGGTTCAGTCAGGAGAGCTGTCCATGACTCACAAGCTGACCCTGGTCCCCTGGCCTCCTCTAGAGATAGTGGATGGAGATGGGAACATCCAGTACGTGACATTGTCCAGGAGACCCCGAACAGTGTGGAGTACAGAGAAGTGTAAGGCTCACTTCCATGATATTCAGGGTACGCTGATGGGAAGTCTGGACAGCATGGAAGAGAACGCGTATGATAGGGACCCCAACCAGCGCTCCCCCGAACATTTCCTCTTCTCTGTTAACGAGGTGGAGTACAGACAGAGGGGGGAGATGTCTCTTAGCACAGAGTCCCTCAACAGCACTAACTCAAGGGACAGCAAACTCTACACGCACTGGATTGTCATCTCCGATTTTAAAGCCAGTATTAATATTGATACGCGAACTCTTATACTGGCTTTTATAGAACAGTATGAAAATACCCGAGCTTTGAAGAGAGATTTGTCTTCAGAAGCTCTCAAGACTATAAGTCTTGAAGGTGAAGGGACTAAGAAATCTCCAAGAGGAACTTTAATATTCGAATGTTCTCCGAACCAATCTAACGACGACTTACTCTCGCAGTTTGATGAAGATCAAGTTACGATAGTCACCAGTGACGACAAATCTTCCTCCTCAAAAGAGAAGCTAGCGGCAGAGCAGGCTTGTTCTGACACCGATATTAAAACCAGGCAATGGTCCATTCAAATGACTAACGGCCAGCTAGCAATGCAAGGACCTGAGCTGAACGGTTTCATAGTGCTGACAACTGGGAAGTGCCAGGTTCTGGGGACAGAGCACTGGCCGGTTCTCAGGGGCGGTGAGTTTTTCTCCAAACTCTCCTGGACCTGTATTGTGGAGCATGTTCAGTACTTCGCTACAGTGAACGAGGCACCTGAGTGTAGTATCCCCTGGTTAGACGAGAGTATTGTCTCCGCGAAAAGGAGTCGCTACAACTCTACCCAGGACCCTGAGGATCCAGAGAATCTTATTAATGACATTGAGGAGCAGGATGAGAGTTTGAAGGGGATAGTGAGAGAGGTTTACAAGTTTGACACGAAGCAGTGTGCTACCCAGCTACAGAGGATCGTCTCCAGGTGCGGGTGTTTGCTCTCTTTCGTCTCTTTCGGTTCTCAACCTATTGAAGATACACACAGTTCTACCGAGGACTTACAGTACACCACTGAGAACATGTATTCGAGTGACTTGCTCTCTGCCTTTTCTTTGAGACATAAGAGTCTGGAGGTGGCTACGAACACACATCAGTACAAAATGATCATAGACTGCGTGAACAACTTGCTCCTTAGAACCGAGGGATCCAAGAGGTCCTCCATTGGCCGGCTGCTTCATGCTTTCAGTTTAATGAGGTCAGGAGAAGACGAGGCTAGGAAGACAATTGCTGCGTATCAGAAGGAGATTCGGGAATGCATTGCCAGAATCAGAGACTTAGAGCGTCATCTGTACGACCTGAACGTTATGGGTGTGCCTAACCCAGACAAGATAGACAAAACTCCGAAAGTTTTGGAAACAGAGAAACAGAAGCTAAATAACAACAGAGTTAAACTGCGGTTGACCATCAGTGCTTTCAAAGAGTTCAAGTCAAAAGAAGGAGCACTATTTAAGGATCAGGTGGAGGACCAGCTAATGGAGGTGAGGAAGAATGAGATTTGTATTGACGATGCTAGCTGGACACTGACTGGAGAGTGCGGCCAAGTTCCTATCATGGAGGTCAATATCCAGGGAGGGTTCGCTTATTCTAGAACAGTTTACAGTACCTCTTCATCATGTGAAACTGATCAGAGTCCAGACTTTTCGAGCGGTCACAAGTTTACCCTGGGACATTTCTGCATCAGGAACCTTCAAAATGATCTGAATCCGCAGAATGTACTGTTCCCTATGAACGATAACAACGAAGGAGGGAACATGAACCACCGTCACTGTCTCCGAGTGTACCTTAGTCAGCAGCACAATCCTGTGGGAGGTATCATTATTAACCATCATCTTGAGATGAATCTCGTTCCTCTCGTTCTACGGTTTGAAACTGCGTTTTGGCGGGAAATTCAGAAGTTCTTTGTTGGGGAAGATAAACATGATGAAGGTATCCATGACTACGATGACCTTGACGACTCTTCCTCCATCAATCCTCTTGCTTTCGAGATCCGAGCTCAGAACTCAAAGAGGGACAAGAAGTTTAAATTTGGAAGCAAGAGAAATGTAAGAACTGCAGCTGCTGAACCACATAAGGCTCTGGATGAGATGTCAGAACGGAGCAAGAAACGATTCTTCAATTTCGTTAAAATCCAGCAGTTCCCTATCCTGATATCTTACAAGGGTAAAATCACTGTCAACGAGAAAACTGTGCTATTCCCTGATATCGAAATAAAAGAAAGAACTCAGACTTGGAAGGAGTTAGCACTGGAGATAAAGAGGATAAGTGTTCCGAAGGTAGCGCTGAGTCTGGGTAAGCTGAAGCAGTCCTACTCGGCCCCTATCCCTGTACTCTCTACTCTGGGGGTGGGCAGCAACTCTAATGTGGACGAGAGTGCTCGGAACCAAGAGGTCTACAGGTTCCTGACCGGTTCTGAAGCTGATGCTGCTCCTAAGAAGAAGCGAGGGTTGAGTCTGAGTTTGCGGAGGAACAAGCCTAAGAAAGCAGCACCACCAATTCCAGCTCGACCTACTCATTTACCCAACGACCAGTTCGTAAAGGAAGTAGACACTCCTGGGGAGTGGGAGGATAATACGCTTGGGGACCGGATGAACGTTCTTAAAGCTATGTCAGCGGAACCAGTTACTCCTACTGACCTGCAGCATCCAATTACTATGGCAACTGTTGCGGAGGGAAACGAAAACATTATTCAGATTAACCCTGGGGCTCAGGATTTCGGGGGCCAGTTGGGTTGAAACTCAGAAGGTTGACAGATTTATTAGTTGTTTTAGTGTTCTTATTGTGATGAATCAACCTGTAGGATAAACATGTAAAAGGAAATGTATTACTATTTTGACTTGTGAAGTTTGATTAATGAATTTTATGGGGGTTTATTTTCAGTATGGACATGATGTTATGTTTGCAGTATGATTTGAGGTGTTTGCCAATTAATAATGTTTTGAAGTTACTGTCGTTACTATAGTTACTATAGTTACTATAGTTACTATACTATTTTAAGTAAATGTCGTCAGCTTTACAAGAAGATTGAAGTGTTTAAATCAGTGCTGCCCGCATTAGTATGTCATACCACTCTAGTAGTATTATACTAGTAGTAGTAGTAGTCAACAAACTATATATCAGCTGGGTTCCTATTATAGACTGATGTTTAATTCTGTTTGTTTCACATGATCTGGTTCTTCCTCTTGAAAGAACCAGATCATGCCTTTATACTATAACTATGCCTGTACAGTGTACAGTTCCATCTCAGGTTGTGTTGACTTGATCCGGGCTGCACTGATTGATTTAATTCAATGTTAGAAGATCTGTAAGATCGAGAAAAAAGAAACACCTGTTATTACAACGTGTCATTCGTTTAGTTGAACTATTTGATTTGTAGTAATTTACTATTTTAATCATTTCTCTACTTTAACTGGTTCCTTTATTTAGTGGTAGGAGTAGCACTTTCATGTAAATGATTGATTTATTAATCATATTAATAAAATATATTTAGATAATCAAATAATACAATTGTGTCGTCAGTAAAAAGTATCATAATCTGGTCTTGACAAAGCACAATGTTTCAGTTTAATCATCTAAAAATATGAACTAACTAGGTGAACATTTTAAACTAGTTCCCTACCGGTAATAACGGTGCCGGTCACGATAGTAACTGTCATAGCAACTACAGTAACCATAGTAACCAGACATTTTAAACTATTTCCTTGCCAGTAGTTACGGTGCCGGTAGGGGTCCGGTTCGATACAGATTCAGCCCGCTTAGCTAAACAAGACACAATTCTGCCAGCAATTGTCCTCCACCTATCCCCGAGTAGTGTTCTAAACTGGCTCTGAGCCCACTCCCTGAACCCCGTCATCCTCAATAGCAGCACTATCGGGTTGATAGTAGAGTTAACACACACGCTCACTACGTACGTGATGTTCCAACTGTACCAGTAGAGGAAGGAGTTATTGTACATGGTAGTGTACTTGTTACCTGCTACCCAGGTGAATGAGTACAGCACATAGTTCAGGAAGACAGGAATGTTGCACGCTGTGTAGATAGCACTGAGAATCAGGATGGTAGTTGTGGGTTTCCGACGAGCGGAGCTCTGGTTGTAGCTCAGCTTCTTGCATCTGCGTCTCAGTTTGCGGAGGACTATAAGACAAGCTCCACAACTGGAGAAGATGATTGGAGCAGGGAGTCCTAGCTGTAGGGAGGCTTGTATTGAGGAGAGGACCCAGTAGTACCCCGCGGGGTACAAGAAACAGTACAGTGAGTCTCTGTTAAAGTGAAATGAAGCGAACGCGTAGTGGGTGGACCTGTCATATAGCATGAGTTGGGGGAGTATCTTGCTTGTTAGACTGAGAATGAGATAGAAGCTGGAGATTGCCATCATGGCTCTGATATTAAGGACCTTGAGAGGACTAGTGAGAGTGCTAGCTCTGGAGACAGCCATCACCACCATCAAGTACACAGAGAGGTACGGGATGACCTCCCAGAGGAAACCCCACACAGCACAGAACACATGGATACCAAACAGTCCAGCCTCTCTGTTAGTTACGTAGCTGAGAGCAACAGGGAAGGTGGTGGAACAGATGATGACGTCACTAACAGCCACCATCAGGTACACCAGGGTGAAGTAGTACTTGTTGTTATCCCTCCTGTTCCTCCTCGAGCCACGTGCCATCTCCCTCAGGAAGTACAGCACTGCCAGCGTGTTGGCTAGGGACCCGAATAGAATGCAGGGCCATAGGGCGGTGCCTATTAGCTTGTCGTAGGTAGGGTTCCAGGATGTCTTGAACCCTGTGGATACCTGATGGAGGAGCTGTGTTAGTTTACAATATGTGTTTACTATCTTGCTGGGTAAATTTGAATCAATATCTGTAATCAAATACAGCAGTATCTGGACTCTGGAGAAGGTGTAGTTTAAAATCTGTTACTGGACTTACCCATCGATATTTGGTAATGGTGGGTGCAGGAAGCGTGACGAGAGAGGAACTGTTTTCATCTTCTGTTAAGAGACCCTTTACTAAAGTGTCTGGAGTGTTGTCTAATGTTTCTGATTCCATCATAGTATCATACCTTGATGTTGAAATGTTAATCTAACTGGCGTCCAACCTGTTACCTAATATACAAATAATAATGTACATTTCTTCTTGGACGACTTTCTTTGGAATTTAGTGGATCGTTAAAATTATTATTAGACGCCTTTCTTTGGAATTTAGTGGATCGTTAAAATTCTTCTTGGACGACTTTCTTCGGGATTTAGTGAATCGTGCGATGACCATTTACCAAACACAATATAACGAAATTCTTCTTTCTGAGATGTCTGGAATTCTCGAAGAGATTAGCAATTTATGTGAGAAGAATTCTATAACACTGAGTTTAGCAGTACAATTAGCAATATATAAATGTATCTTCCTCAAGACATCAGATATCACATACGTACATCTGGTTACTACTGGTTACTACTGGTTACTACTGGTTACTACTGGTTACTACAATAACTATAGCGCTGTAGAACTTCCCAGAACTTTCAATTTTGTCATTGCCAAAAATATTTGCAATTTGTAAATTCTAATCAAGCTGTACGCTACTTCTTGTACCTCTGCAGTGATGAAGGTACCTAAAGTAAGTATGTTAGCAATATAATTAAGATCGCCAATATCTTATTTGATTAAAGTTGGAACTGCAGTGATCTGTTATCAATAATATTAGGTCTGTTTTACGTGTTGTAATAGAGCACACGGTTACTACTTGTTGTCATGGTAATAGGGCACACGGTTAAGTTACTAGTTGTTATGGTAAGAGGGGATGATAATTTGAAGATTGAAACTTAATGTTTCCTCTAAAGTTGGAGCTTGGTGCAATATAAATAATTTCAACACTCAAAACCAAACGAAATTATCTTTTAAAAGTAGATTTTCACGATCATTAAATATTATTTGGCGATGAACGTAGTAATGATGATCATGATAATATTTATCAATAGAGTATGACACGAAAGATACGAAGTACGTGACATGCCTAAAGCAACAAAAGGACAGTAACCTAGTAACCAGATAGTAACCAGATAGTAACCAGCTAGTAACCAGCTAGTAACCTAGTAACCAGCAGTACGTGACATGCCCAAAGTAGCAAAAGGGGGATGGTATGGAGTAGCAATAGGTAGACAGACGGGTGTTTACACTACTTGGGACGAGTGTAGTGAACAAGTGAAGGGATTCAGCAAGTCTAAGTACAAGAAATTCTCTACCAAGGTTTTTATTTAAGGGGGGGGGGCCAATGGGTATTTTTTTGTGAAACTTGATTTCGAGATAGCAGTTGACCAACAAACTAGGACCAGTGACCGAACTTTTGAGGGGGTCCCGGACCCCAACCGCCAAACGGTGCGCGCAGGGCAGCCACGCCCATATTTGGTCCAAATTAGGCCCAATTTAGCCAAATACCCTGTACATGCCCCAAACCCAGGTTTATGGTGCTCTACTTGTAGCTAGTGGTCTCCTGAACTCGTATATGAAATTTCATCAAGATTGGACAAAAAATGACTGAGTTATGAGCCAAAAACCATATGCCCATATTTGGGCATACGCACCAAATTTGGTAGATTTCGTCCCATAAATTGGTCAAATATCAATATTTTTGAATGAAACTTACTTTATATGAAAGGTAAGCCTAAACTACATATTCTCTGTAATTTATAGCTTTATATCTGTTTAAATGTGGATACTAAGGCGAAAAAACCACAAAAAATGAACTAAATTGCCCATATCTCGGTTCGCGATATTCGCGGAATTGATCTCACCAAAATTGTAACAACTCAATCAGTTTTCAAAATTTTTGCATGAAATTTTTGGAATCGACTCGAAATCGCATTTCGACCTTATTTTAAGAACGGATTTTTGATTTAGGCCTCAAAAAAAATTTGGCGGCCAAATTCAAAAATTATATTACAGAAATTCAGAATTTGGCCGCCAAATTTTTTTTGAGGCCTAAATCAAAAATCCGTTCTTAAAATAAGGTCGAAATGCGATTTCGAGTCGATTCCAAAAATTTCATGCAAAAATTTTGAAAACTGATTGAGTTGTTACAATTTTGGTGAGATCAATTCCGCGAATATCGCGAACCGAGATATGGGCAATTTAGTTCATTTTTTGTGGTTTTTTCGCCTTAGTATCCACATTTAAACAGATATAAAGCTATAACTTACAGAGAATATGTAGTTTAGGCTTACCTTTCATATAAAGTAAGTCTCATCCAAAAATATTGATATTTGACCAATTTATGGGACGAAATCTACCAAATTTGGTGCGTATGCCCAAATATGGGCATATGGTTTTTGGCTCATAACTCAGTCATTTTTTGTCCAATCTTGATGAAATTTCATATACGAGTTCAGGAGACCACTAGCTACAAGTAGAGCACCATAAACCTGGGTTTTGGGCATGTTCAGGGTATTTGGCTAAATTGGGCCTAATTTGGACCAAATATGGGCGTGGCTGCCCTGCGCGCACCGTTTGGCGGTTGGGGTCCGGGACCCCCTCAAAAGTTCGGTCACTGGTCCTAGTTTGTTGGTCAACTACTATCTCGAAATCAAGTTTCACAAAAAAATACCCATTGACCCCCCCCCCTTAAGAGATTAATTATTGGGATATTTCGTTAATATTCGTTTGGATTAGTTCTTCTGTGATAACAATATTATGACAGTGTTGTAGAAAAGGTTTTATAATGTGCTTGGCAAATAATGATAAATCTGAAATTAGGAACATTAAGAATTGTCTCCCAGCAGAACTAAGCGATGCTTATATACCATTAATAATTTGAGACAATTATGCACTTCCAGTTCAACCCATGACTATCGGAAATGGGAAATAGATAATGACGCAGACAACTTCCCCGAGGTTCTAAATATCCTATAAGGTAGGACTAAAAGCAGTAGCAGCAGTACCCATGGTGACTCAAACTAACTACCATTTCAGAGTCAAGCGGAGGAATACGTCCGAACTAATCGCAGTAACCATGGCAGCAGTAACCAAGCCCAAGGCAGCTGTAACCATGGCAGCAGTACCCCTGGTGAAGTTAATAAGGGTACAGGAACTGTGAAACCCATCAGGGGTGCCAATGTCTCAACTACACCCAACCGGTAAAGGATATTATGGAATTTTGTAATCAGTTCGGGTGGTTATGGTGGTAATATTCACGCACCGGTTCAACCCATTTGTCAAGATTCTTCTAACTGTCAACCTTACCTTGCGTAGATTTTCATGATGCCATTTTATGATTTAAGGTATGGTTACAATCAATGATGTCTACTGAGACAAATACTAATAGTTACTATAGTTACTAGTTACTATAGTTACCATTTAAACAGCTACAGCAAAGTTTGCATTTTTCAATCGGCTTGTTGGTAAAAAACGATATTTAAACTATTAAAACTATTAAAACTAGTAAAACTATTGAAAGTATTGGAATGTTTGAGAGCCTACCGGAGACCAATAAGAGTGGGTGGTGACGACTTGTCGACCCTAGTAACTATAGTAACTACCCTAGTAACTATAGTAACTACACTAACTATTAACTATAGTAACAACACTAACTATTAACTATAATAACTACCCTAGTAACTATAGTAACTACACTAACTATTAACTATAGTAACAACACTAACTATTAACTATAGTAACTACCCTAGTAACTATAGTAACTACCCTAGTAACTAACAGTAACTGCAGTAACTAGAAACTTAAGTAATTATAGTAACTATAGTAACTACCCTAGTAACTAACAGTAATTGCAGTAACTAGAAACTAAAGTAACTGTAGTAACTACCCTAGTAACTATAGTAACTACACTAACTATTAACTATAGTAACTACACTAACTATTAACTATAGTAACTAAACTAACTATTAACTGTAGTAACTACCCTAGTAACTAACAGTAACTACAGTAACTGCAGTAACTAGATACTAAAGTAACTATAGTAACTACCCTAGTAACTAATCGATATCAGGTCTCAACACAACAGTACACTTGTAAAGTCAGTATTTTACGGAGTAGCAAGAGGACACTCTCCAGGAGTGTACCGCACGTGGGCGGACTGCCACAATCAAGTGAGAGGGTTCCAGCAGCCTCTCTACAGAAAGTGCACCTCAGAGGCTGCAGCCATGACCTTCTGTACAGACCACTCAGGTAGGAGTATAGCTAGTAGTATTTCAGCTCATAGCTCGGGAAACGATGCTTTATTTGAATGCTTGAGTGGAAATTATTGTGACCGACATGACTTCGATTAGTATATTAAACGATCTTTATGTTTCAGTGGTGCTACCTTTATGAAACATTTTGTCAAAATCCCGCCAAGCTGCGCGATGACGCTCTTAATACTATTGAAATTGTACACCAATATGGGCAATTTGGAATTGGCTGCTGGCCAAAATTCTAAATAATAATTCCGCAGAACCTCCAGATCAGAAACTGTCTGGGGAGACGGAGAGATCGTTTGATTCAAGCCTTTCTGACTTAGGGTAAATAAGGAACATGTTTTATCGTTATTCGAGTTAATTTAGCTAATATTGGTGCTTACTTGGCAAGTGAGAAGTCCCAGGTTGATAGGATAGTTGGTACTAGTAACTATAGTAACTATAGTAACTACAGTAACTATAGTTACTATAGTTACTATAGTTACTATAGTTACTATAGTTACTATAGTTACTATAGTTACTATAGTTACTATAGTTACTATAGTTACTATAGTTACTATAGTTACTATAGTTACTATAGTTACTATAGTTACTATAGTTACTATAGATACTATAGTAATTTCAGAACTGATGGTGGAGATTTCAGTCCTACAAAACCTGCTGAAGTGGATGAATCTTTTTCAGGTAAGTTTAATCAATCAACACGACATGTTAATGTGTTGTTTATTTTATACAGGGACTAGTATATTCACTACTCATTCGTTGTCTGGTTTCTGGGAACACTGGTTATTGGTGCGGTGTTATTAAGGTTTGATAACATAACGCCTCCCTACGCTACAGTCAGTAACGCCTTCACAGCGTTGTGAACATAATATTATGCAATAATAGAAAGGTTAGTTTAGTAGTGAAGTCAGTAAAATCTACAAATGTCAAGGAGTAGACAAATATCGTGGCGAACTGCTTCAATATTTCATCGAAACTAGTACCGCACGCAGATTGATTAGTAACTACAGTAAACCAGTCATTATAGTAACTACCCTAGTAACTAATAGTAACTATAGAAGCTACTGTGGTGAACGGTTCAAAGTCTTCAAACTGCTTCAATATTTCATCTACCACACCCAGATTGATCGTGAACAATCTGGTTATTTTACAATCTGCAGCTATTTCCATTGATATTAAAGTGATATTAAAATCTCAGACCTGATGATCAGACCAAAAAAGAGACTCTCGCGTGATCACAGTAGCACGTGCTTGTCGCTTGATCACAGTAGCACGTGCTAGTCGCTTGATCACAGTAGCACGTGCTAGTCACGTGATCACAGTAGCACTTGCTAGGTAAGGTAGAAAGAAGATGATGGTAGAGTAAAATAAGGATGTTCTTATTAATTGAGTTCTTCAGCTCAAGTCAGCTGTCGAGGTGCTCTCTTTATAAGCCATTCTTTAAGAACTTGAAAATGTTTCCATCAGAGAGCAAATCTCAGGAGAGTACGTTTTTTCTTATCTAGTCACTGAGAATTCAATCTAATAAATAGTGACTCAGTGTTTAATGTAAAGAATAGTGACTCAGTGTTTAATGTAAAGAATAGTGACTCAGTCTTTAATCCAAAGAATAGTGACTCAGTGTTTAATGTAAAGAATAGTGACTCAGTGTTTAATGTAAAGAATAGTCACTCAGTCTTTAATCCAAAGAATAGTGACTCAGTCTTTAATCCAAAGAATAGTGACTCAGTCTTTAATGTAAAGAATAGTGACTCAGTCTTTAATGTAAAGAATAGTGTCTCAGTCTTTAATCCAAAGAATAGTGACTCAGTCTTTAATGTAAAGAATAGTGACTCAGTCTTTAATGTAAAGAATAGTGACTCAGTCTTTAATCCAAAGAATAGTGACTCAGTGTTTAATGTAAAGAATAGTGACTCAGTGTTTAATGTAAAGAATAGTGACTCAGTCTTTAATCCAAAGAATAGTGACTCAGTCTTTAATGTAAAGAATAGTGACTCAGTCTTTAATGTAAAGAATAGTGTCTCAGTCTTTAATCCAAAGAATAGTCACTGAGTCTTCAGTTTAATGAATTAAAAGCACTGCGTACAACTAATTAATCTTGAAACGTATTTTGAATGAAATGGGCGAGGATACCAATCTTTAATATGAGCGAGAACTTGAAAACAGTAGGCTCAATATCAGCCACTCCTTCGCACAAAATAACGACATTTCAGATGCAACACTTTCTTATCCGAGGCCGACGTATGAACCTTATCAGCTTATCCAAACTATTGATTACAATTTTTATAAATTTCAGACATATAATCGATTTAGGAGCCCTGCCCGAATTGGTGCGAACTTGCAACTAGTAAAATGTCCAAATAGCTGACAGAAACACAATATTTGCTACTATTGTAAAGGCTCTTCAAATGGCGCCCATTTTTAAATGGTTCTCGAAAAATAGACTCAAACAAAAAGGTCAAAACTGTATCGCCTTATGTAAGTGGAGCAAACACATTTATTGACGCACTAACCTTTAAAATAGTATTAGTAGGGATTGACGCACTTCCGTTTATAAATTGCAAACTTAAAACTAATAATTCATGAAAATAAGCAGCTAAGAGTTAAACTTGTGAGACATGACTCGTTACGAACTAGATACTCCGTAAGTAGCATTGCTACATTTGCCTCTCGATATTTAAGAATTTCAGGAAGGAAAAATAACTTGTTTTTCTCATGGCGAGACTTAAATCAATTGAATTTTACAGTCCCTAGCTAACTTTACTGTTGCTCTCATAATATGTAATCAGGGCGACTAGTTTGAAACTGGCTAGATGGGGTTCGTAATCCCCCAGCAGTTCTAAGAAATCAGGTACAGGAAGTATCCACAAGCCCGATTTTAATTTAGTATCTCCAGATTTTGAAGAGATAGAGGAGGAGAGTAATAACGAGGTTTTGAGAGAGATAGCAGCTCTTATCACTCAGTCACGTGACAGTGGGACCCAGTCACATGACCTCAACACCTCTTCTCGCCCTGTGGTCTACACTGACGGTTCCTGTCTAAATCAAGGTTATACTGACTGCTTCAAGTCTTTATGTTTATAATAACATTTTTAAAATGGCCTAAATCACGTGGGCGCTGATTTAATTCCAAAGCGATTGTTTCGACTCAAGCTGTGACAAGAAAAAAGGTAAAAATAGAAAGCAATCATTTTGTTGAATGCTCAATTTTATTTTCAAGAGAACTAAAATAGAAAGACTGTTCATAAATCCCGGATATTATTTCCTGTTCTACTCCGGAAACATTAGCATGGTGTCTGAGTACCCAGAATAACCCCCAAATATCTATATGAACACCCTTGCAAACGGTGGGTATCTTGCCAGTCTCATTAAATCTATAGTGATATCGGTGTTCTCCCAGGAAAAGGTGCGGGTCAGCGTCGTGCTGGTATAGGGGTATACTGGGGACCAGGAGACCCCAGAAACTGCTCTGAGAAGCTGTGGGGACTTCCAACAAACCAGAGAGCTGAGCTGTGGGCTGCTGTCAGGGCTCTACAAACAGGTGAGATGTGGGCTGCTATCAGGGCTCTACAAACAGGTGAGCTGTGGGCTGCTATCAGGGCTCTACAAACAGGTGAGATGTGGGCTGCTGTCAGGGCTCTACAAAAGGTGAGATGTGGGCTGCTATCAGGGCTCTACAAACAGGTGAGCTGTGGGCTACTATCAGGGCTCTACAAACAGGTGAGCTGTGGGCTGCTATCAGGGCTCTACAAACAGGTGAGCTGTGGGCTGCTATCAGGGCTCTACAAACAGGTGAAATGTGGGCTGCTATCAGGGCTCTACAAACAGGTGAGATGTGGGCTGCTGTCAGGGCTCTACAAAAGGTGAGATGTGGGCTACTATCAGGGCTCTACAAAAGGTGAGATGTGGGCTGCTATCAGGGCTCTACAAACAGGTGAGCTGTGGGCTGGTATCAGGGCTCTACAAACAGGTGAGCTGTGGGCTGCTATCAGGGCTCTACAAACAGGTGAGCTGTGGGCTGCTATCAGGGCTCTACAAACAGGTGAGATGTGGGCTGCTATCAGGGCTCTACAAACAGGTGAGATGTGGGCTGCTATCAGGGCTCTACAAACAGGTGAGCTGTGGGCTGGTATCAGGGCTCTACAAACAGGTGAGCTGTAGGCTGCTATCAGGGCTCTACAAACAGGTGAGATTTGGGCTGGTAAGAAACCATTAGATTATCGAGAATTTCATGGGTGTTCAATTTGTCGGAGAATATCGAAAATATTGTTGTTCTTTGGTTATCACGTGACGTGGGTGATCCTGATTAATAAAGATTTTGAAAGATTTCATATAGCAAGAATGTCAATTGTAATTTGAAGATGAGAGAGTTACAATGATATAGGTAACATATAGTTCTACTACAGGCTTGTCGGTGGGTTACAGGAAGTTGGAAGTAAGGACAGATTCCCAGTACACTATAAAAGGGATTACAGAGTGGATTAAGCGGTGGAAGAAGAATGATTATCATGATGCGAAGGGACAGCCTGTAAAGAACAAGGAACTCTTCAGGTATGTTTTTTAAAATCTTATCAGAAAATACATTTTTTATTTAATGGCAAAAATCTTAATGGCAAAAATCTTAATGGCAAAAATCTACTACCTTACTCGGGGTTATTATAACCGGGATAAAGTGGTGGGTTTTGGAAGATTCCGCCATATTTTTCCCGGTCAGAAATTTTACCAGTCATAAAAAAACCCGCCGACTCAGATTATGGGGTTCCAAGGGGGTGGTGATCATCATATTTTACCTGAAGTCTCATATGTGCTAGAGAAGACTTTTGAAGCAGTAGATGGAGGGCTGTAACTTTATTGGCGGTTGCTACCATAATTTCGTTATAAAAATCACAATTTGGTTATAGAAATCAGATTTCAGGGTGGACCGTGATTCTCACTTTTCTTGCCCATGAAGTGAGTAAACTGTGCCACTATTTCATGGTCCACGGTGGATTGATTACTGGAGCAGTTGAAGATGCAAAGCCAAGACATTCCCCAATACCAAGCGGTGGGCAGGAAATTAAGCTACGGCTGACCTTCAGAGCAGTAGCCCCATTAGCGGACAAAATGAAAGTCTTGTTAAGACAACAATACAACTTCGAATTTGACGGTCAGCAGCAGGGGGATATCAATAATGATAATGGAGGGGAGTTGGGACATTAGCGATAATGAGAATGAGAATACGCTTTAATGAAGATTTGACTTATTATTGCTATAGATTTATTTTCCTTTAAATACTAGACGTGTCTTTTTCTCTATTTCTGAGTAATATCAGTAACTGTAAATTGAAATAACTTCTTTAACAAGTAACAAAAACAGAAATTTCGGTTGAAAATTTGTTGACCTCTGAAAAAAACTTGAAAGGTCGGCCACCGGTAAATACATGACCGGGATAATTTGGCGGGTTTTGGGAAATTCCGCCATATTTTTCCCGGTTATTAATTTTCCCAGTCATAAATTAACCCGCTATAATATTCCCGAGTAAGGTATATATAAAGCGAGACGATATATATGGATGAATGGATGGATCCGTACCATTTTACTGACACCACGGCATCAACTTTAACGCGACTTTCCGCAAAAACCGTAAAGATATACAACTGCCTTTTTGACTGGGTCAAATGCTTTAATGGCCTCCAAATCAGCATGAAAAAATAATAAGGAATAGGAGTTTTAAAGCCCAAAATTTGGACCCCCAAGTGGGGTCAAAAACACGAATTAAATAGGTAATAATTATTTGAGTCTCTTGAGTCTTGACACCATTTTAGGGTTATACGGGTTCCTGCTAGTAGTTATAAATGATTAATCAATAATATTTATATAAGATTTGGCGGAAAGGATTTTACCTCTGTATGTTGACGCATTTTTATAGGAATACAAGGAATACAAGGAATACAAGGAATACAAGGAATACAAGGAATACAAGGAATACAAGGAATACAAGGAATACAAGAAATACAAGGAATACAAGGAATACAAGGAATACAAAATTTAAAATCTTAAGCTACAATAGTAACTGTTAAGATAATAACAATATCATAAGATTTGAATTTATTATATTAATATAACTTAAACTAAAGTGAAAAATAAAGATTTTGACAAAAATATTTTGTTTACAGTCGCCTTGGTAATGCTGTAATGCTTGAGCCAGGCCACTTTGCACTCGTTGTTGCGCGAAAAGAAAGAAAAGCGCTGATACAGTGATGTTCAGTGTTCATGTACTGGCCAGAGAGTCGACGAATTATATCCTCGCGTGGTAACGGATTCGTTTAACTTAGTCTGTCGCGTGCTCTACCATGGCAACATATTATGAGTTCCTTCAGCAACCCACGTGGGCATGCTTAATGGCTTTTAGTATCTTTATACGGTTCCAGTGGTTAATTGAAAAGCTGGTCAAAAGAGCGGTTATACCGAGAATTCAGCAATATTACCATATTTATTCTATCCCCGCAATTATAACAGCAAAGTGGAGTTTTGTCTTAAAGACCCGAGGGCTACCCATTTAAGGGCTTTGAAACCGGTTTATTGAATACAATATAATATAGAAACAAACTGCAATAATATCGTAACATTCATGTCGATACTAACTGAAATAATATAATCTGTAGGTATAATATATAATATACTGTCACATAATTAAGATACGTATATGATATGATAAAATAAATATCTCTTTTATTTCCACACTAATTCTCACACCAAGCTTTAATTCACACACCAAAACTTGTTAGTAACCACTAATTACGTGTACTTCAGTTGCTTGGACAGCCTCACCAACATGGTGGACGTAAGATGGGTCCACGTTAAAGCGCATTGCGGCGAGCCTGGCAACGAGGCGGCTGATAGACTAGCTCGAGACGGCGCTAAACTGTAATCTCACTGGCGGCGCTAAACTGTAATCTCGCTGGCCCGGGACGACGCTAAACTGTAATCTCGCTGGCCCGGGACGACGCTAAACTGTAACTCACTGGCGGCGCTAAACTGTAATATAAGCAAGAAACGGTGCTGAATTATTATTAGAGAGATTGTTTGTATTGCTGCGAGAGAAATTGTAGGCCGGTGGCCCAGAAGTAACTGCCCACACGCAACCCTTTAATAACTCATGTAATTCTTCTTAGAATTGCACAGAAATTTCAGAGATTATAGATATTATGTATTAATATTTATCTCGATCATGGAGGAGTTACAAGACAATCAGTAACGATCAAGATTACTGGTTCGAACGACTTGTCACATGACTTGGATGGCCTATCGTTAAGTTATTCCAATATGATACCGCAGTCTGGGGAACACCTTGCTAAGTAAGGTGTCTAAGAGATGAGAGAAATCACAATGCTGGCAAGCATTACCGTTGCCGTTATATTCACAATACTATTTACTCCCTATACTATTATATCCCCTTTAGTTTATTGTTTTCCAGGCATTAAGACTCATTGAAAGTAGTTCAGCAGGTATATTTAAGTAAAAAACATTCTAATTCAATGTTAAAGATGACAAGAATAAGAAATAGTTGTGTGGAGGTTTTTAAGAAATTTGCGCAAAATACGCGCCAGCATGTTATACGAAATTAGGTAAAAAACCCAAAATCGCCATATTCAGGTGCCTTAAAAACCATGTTATAATTGAGTTAGAAATCTGAAACTTTGCAGGGCGTCTAGACCTTGTCCAAATCGACTGTAAAAAAATTTCATGTTTCAGGAGTATCGGGAAGTGGGTTTTCTGGAACCCCTGTTTTACAACAGATTGTCGTGAAGCATATATATATATAGACGCTTTGGCAGTCAATTGTAGCCTACATTTAAGTGTCCGTAGATTCAAAAGAATAAAAGATACAGTCATTTAGAACCACAGGTTTTAAAGATAATTGTTTATACTTTAGTTTACATTATATTGAAAAATAATTTATTGTCACCATCATCACTTGATGACGTCATCAAATTAAGTATTTTTAAAACTTGATTTTTTACAGAATAACAACTTTTCAAATCGATTTTACACCATTAAGGAATAATTTTATTCAAAATCTGAGGACATCTTCACCATAGATAATCGTTTAAGCATTCTGAAAATCTACCGGAAAAGTTTTCTACCTTGCTCCTTCATAAAGATATTCGCTATTGAAGTTAGTGCTTTTTTGAAGAATAATTTTATAAAAACACAAAAGTTGTGAATTAGTATTCTCTGGTGTTGGGCCATCCCTTGGGTTGTGGAGCTCAATTTTGCTTCCTAAAGGTCTAAATTGTGTTATAGGCTAGTTTTAAAGTTAAAAATCAAAAAGTTGCACACGTGGGGACACGCCCAAATTGATTTAAAATAGCTAAAATGAAAAATCACTAAAAATTGTTATTTTCACGATTTTTATCAACTTTGGAGTCCCGTTGTGATCCAAGTTCTTTTTGAAATCTTCTGAAACTTTTCATGCTTATCAAACTATATATTAAATACAACTATGCAAAATCAAAAAGAGATGATATTTGACCAAAACCCATAATCATGGGTAGAGTGAACCGCTGCCAGTGTCTCTCTTTTCCAAACAAAAGGAAATGATATTAATTTGAGGAACCGTCCGCAAATGCAAATTGATACCGAGAATGAAATCGGTCGGTCGCTTTTCCCATTCAATAAGCTTTATTACAATTCGTAAGCCGTGAATGAATGGGAAACGCGAGCGACCGATTTCTTTCTCGGTATCAATTTGCATTTGCGGACGGTTCCTCAAATTAATATCATTTCCTTTTGTTTGGAAAAGAGAGACACTGGCAGCGGTTCACTCTACCCATGATTATGGGTTTTGGTCAAATTGTATATAATATATTGGTGATGAATAAGACGACACTTTCTATAGTTCTGTTTTATAAGATGGTTATTATAAACCTACAAATGAAATGTCGCGATTGAGGTTAAGGAGTGTCAAGTGTCCTGTACCAAATTCTTGAAATTCATAAGATTGATAAAATCTAATTTTCCACTTCCACTTCCAGCTATGCCCAATAAACCATCCTTTTTCTAATGATATTGTCTTCAGCCCGGGAAGTGTTATATTATTTATTTATTTTCAAAAGATATAATTGAATATGGGGGCTTCGTAGGTTTTAATTTTTAAATTTAATTCCATACTTTAGTTTTTAACATCATTATTACATCCAAGATTTAGTTTTAATATATTCACGCTTTAAGTTAATGAAACAGTGATAAGTATTCCGATATTTTTATGAAAGTTTCTCTTGAGACTCATTGAAATAATATTGCAAAGAGCTGCTATTGACAATTATTTACTGTTGAATCGATTAATTAATTTAACTTATTCTTAATAAAAAAGTTTTTTGTTTTTAATACCTTTGAAGATAATATTGAGAAGTGTGTGGACAACTGCAGTAAGTGGGGTTGAAAAATATTGTGCACGTTTTCAAAAGGTGTACAATAAGATACAAGGTGTGAGTTCCAGGAAATCACTTTATTTCGGAAGAGTTAAAGCGAACATGTGCACTCTTTAAGTGCGGAGTGGTTAATTTCTTCTTGTTTTATAAGTTCCGCAGAACCCGAAATGGAAAGAAAATTAATGAAACTAAGGATGAAACACCTTGGTATTCATACCTTGTTGCATTTCCCGCAGGATTTTTGTTTCTAAACCACTTTAATGCCATCATAGATATTGCCTTTCAGAAAATTAAGTATAAAATTGTAGCGAGACGCGAAAAGCAATCTCGTTAGATATCACGCCATTTCGTTATAGATATCATGGCTCATGCCTTTTCCAATTTCGAGACTGGACACCAAAATTAGGATATATTGAAAGTTTTAAGACAGGCTCGCAGAAAAGAACTTTATCTTGATTTCTATTTTCTACCGACAGAAATGAATTGTGAAGCTCTACAGAAAGCAATGAAGGGAATGAACCTTAACTCAGTGACCCAGCTAAACCGTATAGTATCTGACTATACCTCGCGAACACAGTTGGTACACCTTTTGAAGCCCAATTTCCTACACGCTGTATGGCTCACTGCACTACCCACAACCGGAAACTAGGCTGGCCGGGCTCCCGCCGTTCCGCTCTCCAGTTTCCGGGAGTGAGTCACGTGACACACCTGTCACGTGCATCACCATGACAACACGTGAGTTCCTTCAGCTACCCACGTGGGCAAGCGAGAGGAATTCTGTTGGACAACACGACAATCCGTAAGCCAGGAAACACGTCCCTACTATATACTGCATATTGCAGCTGGGACTTCAACTTATCACGTGACTGCTACGTCCTCTCCAACTGTCCTGAGATTGGTCGAGCGCGCGCACGTGACACGTGTAGAAGTGCACATGTGACTGCAATGCGCGCTGTGAGTGGCCGACAGGGCGAGTAGCTAGGAAAATGTCTTAACCAGGAAAAGAGTGGATGTTAATGGGAAAGGACGGCGTGTAACCGTGAGTGTGTAGGGAAAGATGGCAGTACATTTCCTTGTCACTGAGCGGCACGTTGTAACCGGGAGACGCTGCGTTTTATTGTACCTGGGGTCGTCTGTAGATCTGTAATGTGGCTCCTGATCTACTCTTCTACTCAGTAGCTGACTTGTGTCTGTAGTGTGTCTACGGCATTTTGTTTTGATTGTATAATGTGTTTGTTATAACTGATTGTGTGTGAAGTAGTGCGCTGCAAGGTTATTACTTATGGCGGCAACTAAAAGGAAAACACATTTAAGAAGTAGCGGTCAAATTTAACTCAATATCTGTTTCAAATTTGCTTTCAATTGTATTGTTGTATACTTTCCTCGTATTGCTCAGTAATTACAGCTAGTTAGTTTCTCGACATGTTTTTATGATAATCCTGGTTTTAACTATTGGAGTAGTTTTAAGTTTAGTTTATCTGACTAGCTAACATATCAACAATGATTGATTGGGACCAGCTTTGCTTACTGGCCAATTTTTGCTTCAAAATAGATCAATATTGCAATAGGAGAAGATTGTCAGATATTTTTGAGCTGACGCAAACCAAAATTCACAACAGAATATGTGGCCAATTCTATCAGAGTAGAGACTAGGCCTGCTGTGATTATGCTTCTAGAATCTTGCAATCACTTAATTGAACTTTGAGTTGGACACATGTGTTATAAGTGCGCCTGAAACTAAGGTACGATATGTGCACTTATAAAGCGAGCCCTCAACTTCACAATGTAAGGTGCATATTATTCTTCTTCTGTCTGAATCTACGTGGTCAAATTCACCAACATCATCCAATTAATTGGCAAAGCCAGGAAAGTTCCTATTAAACTCTGGTCACGTCTGAGTCTCAGGTCACGTCTGAGTCTCAGGATCACAGAGAGCATTAATGCCACTGACACTAGTTTGATCAATGAAGCAAATCTCAAATAGCATCTTACAGCAATTTTGCCACATTATCTCACCAACTCCTCCTACAATTGAGGAGCACCTGAGCCTTCATATGCACCGCTCACTCAACATTGAACCAAACATCCCACGGTATGCTCATTTTCTAGAAAGGCGTTCCTATGCCGTCTATTCGAGCGCACTTATCTCCTTCACTGCTCAGAACAGCCCAATAGCTTCACCGAAGATATGAGCCTACACAGTAAAAATTCGCGAAACCTTAACAATCTACTCTTTGTAAGATTGTTGAAGTTTCGAGTATTTGTTGTTTGAAATCAAAGCCAGCGACCAGACCCTGATCGCCAGGGTTAGCCTTACATCTGAATTCACGTGTGAGTTATGAGTCTGATCAGGTCATATCTGCTACTACGAGTACGTGGTTAGTAATAAGATTGAGAATATATCGCAGCTTATTCATCCAGTTTATGGATCCTGTTTTCAATATGCACGAAATTGCTACTACTGGTTAAAAGCAACCTGCTACTTCAGGTTCGCTCAGTTATACTCCATTTCTAGGCCCTGTCATTATCTGATATGAATCATGATTGATGATATAATATGTAAGGGATATACTATGTCTATATATAAAGGTGGGCGGAGTATTATCTAGCATTATCTTCTAACCGGCATGCTTCCTTGTGCTAGTAGAATCCAATGCGGACAAAGTAACCGTTTCCGGGAAAACAGCCGGCAACTCTAGTACCAGGCAAATGTTACCAGGCAACTCTCTCTCTCTCTCTCTTTATACTTGCTCTGTTGTAAACTAGTTTCCGGGAACCCAGTGCAATTTGTTTTAATTCTCCTTTTCTTGCTTTTCTTGCTTTACCTGCCTTATTAAGTGATTTTCCTGCTGGATTCGGACCAGGATCATTAAGTGATTAACCTTTATATATTACTACCTTTACTTATTACAGCTGTACTACCTTAAACCGTTCTTCCAGACTTATTAAGTTTGATCCATGACCTGATTCCCCATCCGTGCTTATTGCAGTTGCTATGGTAATAAAATCAGAGGACCTAAGCATGAGTGAAAATGAAGACGAGTCATCTCCCAATGGAAAGAAATCTCCCAAAGAGATATCGTCTGTTTCCATAACAACGTCGCGCATAACGAGACAGTCGGTATCTCGCAACAATCCTCCCTCAAAGAGACCTAAGTTAGAAGCGCCCCTAACAACGAGCGTCTCCCTGGCAACGAATGTCAGCAGCGTCTCTCCTCCTCCTCCTCTTCCTTCTACTCCTAATGTCAGCAGTGTCAGCAGTGTGCTACCTTCCTCTGTTCAGCAAGGTAATATATACGCGAGAAGATGATATTGTGCTACTTTCTTTCTAATAAATTCAAGCACAGATCAGGTCTTTCTTAGTTAATACAGGTAAGTAATAGAAAGAGTAGTGAGTATTGTAGAACACTCATTATATGTAACATTACAGTAACATTACAGTAACATTACGGTAACATTACAGTAACATTACAGTTACATTACGGTAACATTACAGTAACAAGTAACATTACTGACACAACCCATATTACAGAAGCAGGTTCCACGCTACAAGAGACCCTAGCAACCCTGATCAGCAACCTAGGAGAACTGCAACCTAATCAGCTAGCTAAACTTGCTGGAATGCTTTCTAAGAATCTCTCAAACGGTGCGTTTTAAAACGAAATGTGAAACGTAATTCTCATAAATCGTAGAGATATTGAAGTTTAAATGAGACAGTTCCTATTTGAAATATAAGGTTATTAATATTATTGACGAAAGGGTTTGACGCAGTTCACCTTACAATAAGAGGTTGTTTGACGAAAGAGATCTGAGTTTGTCAAAACTCATTAAATCCCCTAAAGAATATTTCTAACTCTTCTATTATTAACACACATAGAGTAATATTAAAAAGCAATGCCCCAGGAACTGGTAACACGTGCAGTTTTACTAACAATAATCCCCCAGGAACTGGTAACACGTGCAGTTTTACTAACAATAATCCCCCAGGAACTGGTAACACGTGCAGTTTTACTAACAATAATCGCCCAGGATCTGGTAACAGTGCACCAGCTCCCCAGTTCAAGTGTGACATGTGCCCCGCTTCATTCCACACTCAGAGTGACTACTTCAAGCATGTCACGTGAGTAAAGAGCTACAAATACATATCAGTTGTGATATACCTAATATAGTGTTTTCGGGCAACTCACTAATGTGCTATAAGTATGAAAAAGATAAACTATTATAATTTAATTAAACTTATTTAGTTATAATAGTTATTTTCAGTGTCAGTACAGTCCGCCATTTTCAGTATTATAATCCCACTTTATTTGAAAACACTATCCTCGTCCAGGTTTAGTCACGAGTCTGATTGTGGAATTTGTCTGAAGAGTTTCTCTACACACGCCCTGCTGGAAGAACACGTACAAAGTGAGCACCCTACTGACCAACAACCTCCTAGCAAAAACACAGGTAACTATAGCAACCACCTTCTAGCAACAACACAGGTAACTATAGTAACAACCTCCTAGCAACAACACAGGTAACTATAGCAACCACCTCCTAGCAACAACACAGGTAACTATAGTAAAAACCTCCTAGCAAAAACACAGGTTACTATAGCAACAACCTCCTAGCAACAACACAGGTAACTATAGTAAAAACCTCCTAGCAACAACACAGGTTGCTATAGCAACAACCTCCTAGCAACAACACAGGTAACTATAGCAACAACCTCTTAGCAACAACACAGGTAACTATAGCAACAACCTCCTAGCAACAACACAGGTTACTATAGCAACAACCTCCTAGCAACTCATCACAGGTAACTATAGCAATGGAGGGAATGGATATAAACACTGGGTAAAAGTTATTTATTTTCAATATAAAGGGCATCATTTTAAACAGCTGCGGTTGACTGAAAAACAGTATATAATAACTAATAGTTACTCATTGATATCTTCCTAGTAATAGTTAACTGTCTGGGTTTGATTGAAATAAAAGCCTCGTTGTCATAGTTACTGATTAGTTGTCTGCGTTTCACTAAAAACTATCAAAACAAGTAGATAAAGATATTTTAGTAATAAGTAGGGAGAAGTAAGTAGGGAGAAGTAAGTAGTTTACACCTACATGAAACTAATGCCAGCATGCCAATCATCGGATGAATTTGAGCACTATTAAAGTTTAATAACGTGACAATTATATTGTTAAAACTATGAGTATGTTCATAAGAGCCACAATGATATATGATATACTAAATTATATAATTTATTGTATAATATACAGTATGATAATTGTACTTGATATGCTCTCGACAAATCATTTAATGCGGTTAATTTGAAATAACAAATTTGTCACGTTGGTTGTGCTCCTTCATCAAATATTTAGTTACCTATCGCAGCGTCTTGGTAAACTGCTTGTTTAACTAGTAGTTGTTGCTATGACAACTCAAACTTGCGTGGAACTTGAAGTTTCATGCTCACATATAATACGTATGAGGTTCATTTTTCAACAAATTGTCGCTATATTTAAATGGCAATTTAATTTGCTTAACCTTAAGGGGGCCGGGGGGGTCTTCATCAAAATTCTCTCAAAATTGACTTTATAGTTGTATCTGGTAGAAGGGAGTGATATCTACCAGCTGCTTTTAGTCCCATGGAAAAATATTGTTCCTAGCCGAAATTATCGCCGGTCTAAGGTCAGCGCTTATGTGTAATTGTATTGCGCGAGCGATTTTCAATCGCAAATTCGAAAATCGAGTCTAAAAATCTATCTTCTCCTACATTTTTTGAGCAATCACCCTGGAACTTTCAGGATGTGTTCTAGGGACCATTTAGAAGATTTGATCGAGCCAAAATTTTGAGATAGGCCTTTAAAATTTTGTATTTAATTTTGAAAATCTTGGACCCCGTTTTTTACGATTTCGGACCTGAAAAAATCGTAAAAAACGGGGTCCAAGATTTTCAAAATTGAATAAAAAATTTTTAAAGGCCTATCTCAAAATTTTGGCACGAAGAAATCTTTTAAATGGTCCCTAGAACATATCCTTAAAGTTTCAGGGTGATTGCTCAAAAAATGTAGGAGAAGATAGATTTTTAGACTCGATTTTCAGAATTTGCGATTGAAAATCGCTAGCGCAATACAATTACACATAAGCGCTGGCCGCTGACCTTAGACCGGCGATAATTTCGGCTAGGAACAATATTTTTCCATGGGACCAAAAGCAGCTGGTAGATATCATTCCCTTCTACCAGAAACAACTATAAAGTCAATTTCGAGAGAATCTTGATGAAGACCCCCCCGGCCCCCTTAACCCTTGAACTCGTACCATAAAGCTTAAATACTTCAAAACGAGCAAATTTGATTTCCAGCAGATTGGTTAAACGCATATAACGATATCTCAGTTTCGAGTTCTGACCCAAACTAAAATTTGGCCAGTTTCCAATCTGATAATCTTCTTGATCGGAATGTTGCTGCTAGTTCATCAAATAAAATAGATGATTTCGCGACGGTAGCAGGTGAAACTATGAAATAACGTGAACAATGTGCAAATAGAAAAAAAATACATGTACACAACAAGCGGCAAAAAATAATTGTAAGGTTTTAAAAAAATCTGAATGCTTGTCATGTACCTAGCATCTCCTAGCATTAATAAAGGAAGTTTATAATCCCAGGCCACTAAACCTTTAAATAAAACCCCACATAAACCCAGTTTCCTCTCCAGATGAGCGCATGACTTGTCCAGTGTGCAATGATAAGTTTTACGACGAGGTGGAACTCCAGGCTCACTTGTACAGTCACAAGCAGATCTTCCCTTGCGAGCTCTGCAGGGAGGTGTTCGGAGAACACAGGTTAGTGCTCCTTCATCAAATAAATAGTTAACACAGGTCAGTGAAGACGATATACACATGTATTTTGAAATCTCCTGTTGATATAACTTTAATAACCTTGAATCGTATCATTTATATGATTCAAGAACACCCCCCCCCCCCCCCCCGCTCCATGCCAGGTTAGTGATTCAGGGATCAACTATATAGCTCACTTCTGTAGGGTGGATGGGATCAGTTATCTTTCAAAGCTGATTTAAAAGCGAAAGATATGCTGTTGAGTTTTGGTGTTCGACCAGAGATTAGAATCGAATGTTGACTGTAATGTAACGGCTAGTTTAATCACTAACCAGTTTTACCATGGTAACCAGTTTTACCATGGTTACCAGGCGCGCCATTCTCCCCCCTAGTAACCAGTTAGAAATCTGCCGTTTTGTGACAAATGAGCTCAAAGACACTCAAAAATCCTAGGTTTTCAAGCACTTTTGACACATTTATGACAAATTTTTGCATTTTAAGCAGTTTCTTTCTAATGGTTTCTGATGGTTTTCAGTGATAGTTCTTGACCCAAAATAAAATTTGGATTAAAGAATTCAGAAATTCACAAAAAGGTCTTTAAGCACATTTGTCAGAAAACGGCAGAAATGAAGGATAGATTCGCTCACCTATGTGTCGAATGAAGCAAGTAAAATTGTCGATTAACTGTATGACTGGTTAGGTTTGCGCTATTTTTAAAATTTTAAAACGATATTACACAAAAATTACAAAAAAAAACTGTGTGTAATTCTGACTCACGTGAATTATTAAAGGGTTACGTCTGGACTCTGGGCAGAAGTCATACTCCACTTAAACAGTGTTCACTTAAACACTGTTAAAGTGACAGTTTCTAAAAACTCCACTAAAATAAGAGTTCAGTGGTTAAAGACTTTGTGACAGAAGCGAGACTGTTTTAAATACAGATGGAAATTTTGCTAAAATATCTATCAACTCAAAACTCTTGTCTCATTTTGGTCATGTGAGTGAGATGGCTGTTAAAAGTAAGGTGGCTGATTTATACAGATATAAATGAACAGTAGCAAACTTGATACAATCGAGTCTAGATTAGTATTCTCTACTCAGAAACTTAGTGATCATACAAACTTGGGAGAAAAGTTTTCCGCAGTCAAGGCAACTAGATAGTACATTCGTCACGCTGGAACAAATTATTTGTTATATATAAACGCACTTTACGGAATAAACGCACTTTACGGAATAAACGCACTTTACGGAATGTATGATGCTAGTACAAGAACTTTCGGGTAATTCCACTTGACTAAGCAATCACTTTATATAGTAGTGTAGGAATCCCACAGAAATAGTTTCGGTACTGGCAGCCTGAAAAATTGGTTTTGTCCCTCACTTTATCTCCGCTTACGTGTCTACTGTAATTTGTACCCAAAAGTGGAATTACCGATAATCCTTGTACCAGCGTCATATATTCCGTTAAATGGGTTAAAAGCGCTTAACTACTTCACGTGGTAGACTGGTGGAAATACCACTATCGAAACTAGCACAGAAAATAAAGTGTAGTGTACCAGGATGTTCCATTTTTATTCCTCTAAAAACTTTATCTTCCCTCCCAAACCTTATCCTTGCCCGAAAAACTTAGCTCTACACATAATAATAATACCTTGTACCTTTGTCCAGGAACTTAGAGCTGCACCTGAAAGCGTTCCACGAACAACACCGGCCCCACACCTGTAACATGTGCACAGAGACCTTCTGTACTGCTTCAGAACTCTACAAACATATCAGGTGCTTTCACTTTCACTTTCACTTTCTACTTTCACTATGACACAAATTCCCTTCGCCATCCTACATCTGTGAATCATTTCCATCATAATCTAACAATACCTCTCCACAGTTTTAAACACGATCTGGACTGCACTATTTGTAACCAGCCCTTTACTAGTGCTGCAGCGCTGAAAGCGCACATAAAGCATCAGCACACTTTCGAGTGTTGTGCTTGTGCTGTCCAAGGAACTGTCAAGATCGTAAGCAATTTCTTACTCAAAACCTTTATCTCCCTATTTTAATTAGTTTTATTCACTTCCTTGCTGTCAGCCTTACATAATATTGAGTTTTAATCCTTCTTTCCTACCTAAAACATGTTAACTCTGTTATCTGCACGATTATACTCTCATCCTTTCGTAAAACTCCTTCCTGTTTTCAGTTTAACACGGTCGAGTCGTACGATATCCACCTGTCTCACTTTCACAAGGGAATGGAGTTCTACAAGTGTATAAAGTGCAACAAACGTTACATATCCCTACCGGAGTTCCAGAACCATGTCATGGAGGTTAGTTCTTTCACTTTCACTTTCACTTTCACTCTCACTTTATCTGAGTTCAGAACCATGTCATGGAGGTTAGTTCTTTCACTTTCACTTTCACTTTCACTCTTACTATATCTGAGTTCAGAACCATGTCATGGAGGTTAGTTCTTTCACTTTCACTTACACTTTCACTCTCACTTTATCTGAGTTCAGAACCATGTCATGGAGGTTAGTTCTTTCACTTTCACTTTCACTTTCACTCTTACTATATCTGAGTTCAGAACCACGTCATGGAGGTTTGTTGTGGAATCTTCTGGAACTTGGAGTGTCCTTTCTGATTTCTGAATCTATCGCCGATCTCCTATGTAAAAGAACCCAGATTTTTAACAAGATTATCTGTTTATTAAATACGTTAACAGTAATGACATATCTCCCAGGCGCACCAAGCTAAGCCACCTGAAACACCCGACAATAGTGAAAGTGAAACCAAGCAGCTGGAGGAGGAGGAGATGAAAGAGAAATGTCAGTTTTGTGACACTAGTTTTGTCTCCTCTGCAGCTCTACTGTCCCATGTGCGTGAGATACATGACAACTCGTGCGTGTACTGTGAAACTGTCTGCAACAACGGTGAGAACATCATTATCATCTATAGTTTCATTTAATTGTATTAAACTAGGGATCTACAGGGGTTTTCTGTTTGTGTATCAACGCCTCCTCCACACATCCCCGACGCCTCCTCCACACATTATCTTACAGGTGGATTCTAGTCACACCATCTAACACTGTCTCTATCTTACAGGAGGATTGGAAGAGCACATGAGCTCTATTCACTCTAGAAAGTGTGATATTTGTAACATTGTCTACAGAGAGCAGTACTTAATCCTGGAACATTTTACTGCAGTTCATCCTGAGGTAACTACTACAGCTAATTATAGTAATTACAGTTGTGTTTACACTATCTGTTATTAAGAACTTTAGTATATATTATATACAAAATAGTAATAACATTAATGCTCGGAAACAGTCTTTAAAACTCGGTTCAAGGCTAAATTTACACATGTAAACTGACGTGTTCTGAAATTTTGTGTAAATATTAAGCATTGCACTTGAAAATATACCTGACTATAAAAAGATTTAACGGTGGATATGTTACTTTGTAAACTGGAAATGACTTTTATAGTAGCTAAGTAGGGCTAGATGACTAGAAAAGCCCAAAAGTATTAAATTATATGACGAAGTTGAAAATGGTAAAGCTATTAAGATTCCATTGACGTGTAGTACTATATATATGTGCCGCGCCTTCACAAAGCTGGTTCCTAAATTATGAGGATTTGTTGTAATTCCGCTGTATTCCCGAGCTTTTAGTGACCAGCTTTTAACGGCTGAGCAATTTCGACTCCCAATTGAGAAACCGAGTTGAATGATTGGGCGACGGTTTAAGTTAGTCGCAGAGAACGTCAATCATTTAGCAGTTTTACTGTTGGGCAAGTGGAGGGAGTTTTAAATAGTCGTTTAGGGCTTAGGCACTTGCTTTCTACAGAACACAAGATAGTATACTGTATTGACTTAGTTACTGACACAGTACAACATGTTTTACTATATATAATAAGACATGTTATACTTTATATATATATAAAGCGAAACGATATTAATTATTGGCGGGACATAAGACTAGATCATCTGGCTACTGGCCAGTGGCCAGTGATCTAGTCTTATGGGAACCTTTGCATGGTAGAGCACAGCAAGGCCGACCGAGACAAAGCTATTTTTCTATGTTACTGATATGAGGGAACTTGGGACAAACTCTAAAGAGGAACTGTGAACCCTGATGCCGGACAGGGATGTATGGAGGGGGTTTTCTGGCGTAGATCGGACTTAGTTCCGACGTATTAGTAGTACTAGTAGTAGTAGTAGAAATTAGAATATTAACAGACTTGTAGTTAGCTACGTAGGACACATAAAACGCAAAATCGGAGTGTTAGGTCGGTTTAGAATGCCTTACATCTATTTGACTTATCTGAATAATTTTATTAGTAGGTGGACATCAGTGACACCAGGGTTAAAACGTTATCAGGTTCACTTTTTAGTGTTCAGTGACATAAATCATGATATTACGATGATTTACAAGATATACGCCATGTCTACTGTCTACAGATAGATAATGAACGAGCGAGCGAAACTTATTTTCTTTTGCCTTTAACTTCTAGTCACCTGGTAACCTAGTTACCTGGTTACCTGGTAACCTGGTAACCTAGTTACCTGATAACATGGTAGTCTTTACAATACCACTCCTAGTTAACGTTGACGAAGTGCTGGCTGTGCGAGGAGCGGTTTATAACAGCACATGACTTAATAAAACATAGCCGAGCAAAGCACTGCAAGGAGCTGAACCTTAACTCCTCGGACAAGACTTCCCAGGTATATCCTTCTGTTACTGATCTTATTTAATCTTATCTTAGTACTTTTAAAAAACGTATCACTACAATTATCAGTGTAATATGTTCAAAAGTTGTGTCTTTTATCTCTAGAAGGTGGATCAGTTGAATTGCCTGAATTTCCTGAATTGCCTGAATCTCTCTGACTCTCATATTCAGGACGATACAAAGCACCCTTGTAAGAGTTGTGATGAGGTCCTCTCCAGTGCAACCGAGCTACTCACACACAACAAGTTAGTTTTAATGCTATCTACGAGATTTCAAACACAAGGAAATATTTTTGTTAAATTGCATCTATGAAATGAAATTAAACTTGTGGCCCGCAGTTATGGTTGTTACTTGTTTGCCTAACCCTGGGGATATACTTGTTGTACGGCTAGTTATACAAGAAGAATCAACTCAGACAGTTTAAAGCCCTGTCCCTCAGATTGGATCACAATCCCCGGTGTACGGTGTGTAAAGTACAGATGTCCTCTGCTAGAGACCTGGATCTGCATATATCCTCTCAGCACTGCATTTCCTGTGAGGACTGCAGTGACCGCTTCTCTTCTAAGCTAATGCTCAGGTTACTTGTTATTAATTTTTGCTAACTACTCAGGTAACTTCTTTGCTGTTTCTGTTTGTGTTAGTTCAAATTTAGAATTTTTCGTGAGTTAGATTAATGAGTGGCTCCATCCTGACCAATAGTATTTACAGGAACCACATTACGACAAAGCATCCTGAGAAGGAGATATTTCACTGTAGGATATGTCTGGAACACTTCTCCAACAAACCCGAGGTTATTTACTGTTTCTAATGTTTACTGTTTCTAATGTTTACTGTTTATTATTTACCTTTTCTATTATTACGTTAGAAACCATAACAAATAACCCGTACTCCAGTTTTCTTACTAGACACTATATTGTATAGATAACCTGGTAACCTGTTTAGTGGTTATCTGGTAACCTGGTAACCTGGTAACCTGGTAACCTGGTAACCTGGTAACCTGGTAACCTGGTAACCTGGTAACCTGGTCTAACCAGATAAGACTGCTATCTGTATTGATACCCTGACTAGACAACCAAGCTGCACTGTACTACCATAGACCACTAATTATATTGAACACTAACTGTATTTACTCCGCAGCTAGCCAAGCATTTCAGTAAACATATCCCGGTATCAGCTGGATCGAAAACTACTACAGGCTCTGCTATCAAACATGTCAGTTACTTTTAAAGTATTTATTCGCTATCATACAGTGCTTAGGAGACTATTAGCAGAAGTATAACTACTTACCACAAATATTGTTAATATGTTAATAACACCACATAACCCCAACCTCCTCCCCTGTAGTACCTAGGAAAGCTGCCTGGAGTGCCATGTAAGCGACCTGGTGGTGGTGGTGGTGGTGGTATGTCCTGCGCCATCTGCAGGACCAAGTTCAGTTCTATCCCTGAGTACGAGGAGCACGTGCAAAGCGCGCACGAAAAGAACTTCTGCTCCTGTGACATCTGCTCTCACTGCTTTGTTTCTGAAACAGCTCTTCACAAACATATTGGTCAGTGGTTTTCAGTAGCTGGCTCTTTCTTTCAGCTGCTGGCTCTTTCTTTCAGTAGCTGGTTCTTTCTTTCAGCTGCTGGTTCTTTCTTTCAGCTGCTGGTTCTTTCTTTCAGCTGCTGGTTCTTTTTTTCAGTAGCTGGTTCTTTCTTTCAGCTGCTGGCTCTTTCTTTCAGTAGCTGGCTCTTTCTTTCAGCTGCTGGTTCTTTTTTTCAGCTGCTGGTTCTTTTTTTCAGTAGCTGGTTCTTTCTTTCAGCTGCTGGCTCTTTCTTTCAGCTGCTGGCTCTTTCTTTCAGTAGCTGGTTCTTTCTTTCAGTAGCTGGCTCTTTCTTTCAGTTGCTGGCTCTTTCTTTCAGTAGCTGGTTCTTTCTTTCAGTAGCTGGCTCTTTCTTTCAGTTGCTGGCTCTTTCTTTTAGTATCTGGCTCTTTCCTTCAGCTGCTGGCTCTTTCTTTCAGTAGCTGGTTCTTTCTTTCAGCTGCTGGTTCTTTCTTTCAGCTGCTGGCTCTTTCTTTCAGTAGCTGGCTCTTTCTTTCAGTAGCTGGCTCTTTCTTGAGTAGCTGTTAATCAACATTGATAAACCTAACATTTCAAGAGTTGATAAACCTAACATTTCAAGAGTTGATAAACCTAAAATCCCCTCCCAGAGATTTATCACGAGAACATAGTGTTCTACACGTGCAACAAGTGCCCCAAAAAGACGTTGAGCAAGCCTGAACTTGATAAACACATCTCCCTGCTTCACAAGAGTTAGTTTATATTATAAAGGAGCACATCTTAGTTTATATAGGTTTTACAAGTTCATTAATCATATTCACAACTTAATATTCACAAGTTCATTAATCACTTTTATAATGTTACTGATGAAAATGTCTGACGATTCCGTGTATGTGACAAGGAAAATTGTTCACTCTCCCAATGTTAGTTTGTTAACACTTCGTATTTGCAAGTTCATTAATCATACTTACTCAATCTCACGATTTGATAATATTGTTATTAAGAACAACGACAAGTTATTTCCGGGAAAACATCAAATTTCCAATTAACCCTACACATGGTTCATGGAGTATAAAAGTCATGATTTTTAAACAGTTTATGGTAATCTAGTATCTACAATAAAAAAATTAAAGAAGTACAGCAGGGTGTCAGAATCATTGGCGTGTTTGAAATTTTATGTGTATTTTATGATGAAATCAATATTTTTCGACGGGTCATAACTTTACTTCTGAATATCGAAATTACAAAATTAAAAAACTGGTCTGTAGACAATCGTCTGAACTTTTTCTTAATTTCAGAATTTTTTTGTTGATGTACCTCAAAACCCATAATTTAGGCCGTTATTTAAAGGGTCGATTCCATACTTGGTTAGATTTACGAAGGAGTAAGGGATTTATGTGTAATTTTTTTCCGGTGAATTTTTTCTGAAATTATTCTTTAGACTAAAGTGCACAGCTCTTCAGGCGATAGCGAAACATATAGAAAACTATAGATTTTATAAAAGCTCTCTTTCTCCTCTAACTGACGCAATAAAATATAATCAGGCGGACTCATCCCGGAATTCAGGGGAAGCAGCCAAAGGCTTCAAGTCCAATAATCCAAATTTTTCTCTTTCGTCGTGATTATCGACGAAATTTAACTTCTTTCGGACTTCATTTTTAGACTGAACTGTAGTATGAAGGATTATTTCTTGAATGATCAAGACTCCATAGGAAACTGACCCTCAGAAGTCAAGTAATGATCGTTTCTAAAAGCTTGGGTAAGCTAAAATTTTACGCAAAATTGTATACGCGCCAATAATTATGACACCCTGCTGTACTATCTACAATAAAAATTAGTTAAGTTCAGTAAAGTAATGCTAGCATTTACAATAACCCCAGACGATTACGAGTATACAACATGTGATGTGTGTCAGGAGAAGTTCACTAATCAGAGCGACTACTTCAAACACATCTCCTTCGCTCACGATACTTCCTCTGAAGGCGGGGTCAACAAGTGCACTAACTGTACTGGTAAGTTACCATAGTAACCAGTTAGTAACCATACTAACCATTTAGTTACCCTGGTTACCATACTGAGGGACGTCAGTAAAATAGCTTCTCAAGTGTCGAGAAATATTTATCTGTCAGCGATCTGATTATAACAGATCAGGATGTTTAATTTCATGCCTATAATAATGTCGGTGGATACATTTATGAGAAAGTTGTATTCTAACTTCAGCTTTTACATATTTTTATAAGATTGGAACTAGTCTGTCTTACTCGCAAGACTAACTACTAGTAGACTAACAAGACTCACTAGTTTCTCTCACAAAAGAACTATTAGTTATGGGTGATCTACCCTCACTTATACGGCCTAAACTTGATAGATTTTTGCACAACTAGGGCACAAGGTCAAGATGTTTATGTTTCTCCAGAACAAGCTAAAGTCATCACAAGATGATTTTTATTTGAAAATTCAATTAATTATTACATATACAAATCAAGCGTTACATTTCAGCCATGCAAAATTACAATGACATATTTTAATATTCTAATTGAAAAATGGTGCTGCAATATAAGTTGCTTAATGTTTGGCCGGATGACAACTAACTAAAAGAGAAAAATAAACTTGATTACATAATAATTAATTCGGCTGAACCAACACATAGCAAAAGCCACATTAACGTTGGGGCCGATGAGACTTTATTTCCAGGCATTCCAGAATATCCTAACCCCCTCTCTCTCACAGCCTCGTTTGCAAGCGAGACAGCACTAGCGGAACACCAACTAACAGCCCACCAGAAGAGCAAGTTCTTTGTATGTAAAATGTGCGGGGTCAAGTTCACTAGCTACTACAGACTTAGCAGACACATGAAACTGGAACACAAGGGGAACGAGGTATGTGTTTTAGTGGGGGGGGGGTTAGTGTTTTAGTGTTAGTATTTTAGTGGGGGGGATTAGTGTTTTAGTGTTAGTGTTTTAGTGTTAGTATTTTAGTGGGGGGGGGGGGATTAGTGTTTTAGTGTTATTATTTTAGTGGGGGGGGGGGGTTAGTGTTTTAGTGTTAGTATTTTAGTGGGGGGGGGGTTAGTGTTTTAGTGTTAGTGTTTTAGTGGGGGGGGGTGTTAGTGTTTTAGTGGGGGGGGGGGTTAGTGTTTTAGTGGGGGGTGTTAGTGTTTTAGTGGGGAGGGGGTGTTAGTCTTTTAGTGGGGGGGGGGGGTTAGTGTTTTAGTGTTAGTGTTTTAGTGGGGAGGGGGTGTTAGTCTTTTAGTGGGGGGGGGGGGTTAGTGTTTTAGTGGGGGGGGGGTTAGTGTTTTAGTGTTAGTGCTTTAGTGTTAGTGTTTTAGTGTTAGTGTTTTAGTGGGGGGGGGGTTAGTGTTTTAGTGGTGGGGGGTGTTAGTGTTTTTGTTTTTGTTTTAGTGTTAGTGTTTTAGTGTTAGTGTGTTAGTGTTTTAGTGTTAGTGTTTTAGTGTTACTGTTTTAGTGTTAGTGTTTTAGTGGGGGGGGGGGTGCTATCACTAAGTAGTAATTAAAGTTAATAGCATATTAATGGAACATTCCTGGTTAAAAATTGTCCAAAATTCTGCACATCGTTGAACGAATATTGTTTTTAATAATTACCCTGATCTGTTAACAAAATCTCAGTAATTCTGTTCTCAGTATTCCTGCGATGTGTGCAACAAGTCCTTCTCCACGGTGCTAGCTCTCTACCGACACCAGAAGTCTTACCACGAGAACGAGCTGGGTGTCAGGATCTGCCTCACCTGTGGAGCTAGGTTAGTAGCTAGTTGCTAGGTTACCGACTAGGTTACCAACTAGGTTAGTAGCTAGTTGCTAGGTTACCAGCTAGGTTACCAACTATGTTAGTAGCTAGTTGCTAGGTTACCAGCTAGGTTACCAAATAGGTTAGCAGCTAGTTGCTAGGTTGCCAGCTATGTTACCAACTAGGTTAGTAGCTAGTTGCTAGGTTGCCAGCTAGGTTACCAACTAGGTTAGTAGCTAGTTGCTAGGTTACCAGCTAGGTTACCAACTAGGTTAGTAGTTAGTTGCTAGGTTACCAGCTAGGTTATCAACTAGGTTAGTAGCTAGTCGCTAGGTTACCAGCTATGTTACCAACTAGGTTAGTAGCTAGTTGCTATGTTGCCAGCTAGGTTACCAACTAGGTTAGTAGCTAGTTGCTAGGTTACCAGCTAGGTTACCAACTAGGTTACCAACTAGGTTAGTAGTATATATAATTATAAGTAATCATGGAAGCACGAAAATTATGTACCTCGAGGCTAACCGGTTGTGACTCGACTAGTTTCGGCTTTTTAAGGCCATCCGCAAGGGAGTATCACCTAGCAGATTAAAATTATGTTAAAATTTTAAATGAGAAATCATATTACAAAGTAAAAATGAGAACAAACAGATTTAGAAGGTAACACTTTGTGCAGGTTAGCGAGCCAGAAGTTGCTACAAGATCACGTGGCCCAACATTTCTCCTCCTCTGATCTCAAGTGCAAACAGTGCAACATTAACTTTACTTCAGTACCAGCCCTCAAGGAACACAACCTTTTCCATCAACGCCAGGAATATAGGTACGGGACAATGTGAGGAGTAAATCATTGGATATCTGTTATAATAATATTCTTAAACTCGAGAGAGAGGAAAATGTTAGCATGTTTATATCATAAACTGGTGAATTGTAGTCTCTAAGCTATTTCTTATTCTCGACAAGGTCAGTAAAATAACATTTGCTCTCATTACAATCGCTTAATCTCTCACTCACCCCCTATCCCAGATGTATAGATTGTGGCAAGACGTTCACTACCCAGACTGATCTGAAAGTGCACGTGTCAGTTGATCACGTGGGCATGGTCATGTGCACTGTGTGTGAGGAAGCCTTCCAAGATGAGAAAACACTGGAGGTTCACATGAAGTTCCAGCACTCTTCTGAGTCCGAGAAAACTTATCGGTATGTTTGGAGGCTTGATTTTGTAAAAACTATTTCCCTCTTTCCTTGTTTATGTGAGCTCTCAGCTCTGTTATCTGACATCTAATACTTGCCAAGTATTCGTTTAATGAGGTACTGTTATCACTCTAATGGTTCCTATCGTTACAGTTTTCCAACACAACAATTCTCCAGATGTTCTGATTGTGGAGACTGTTTCCCAAGTAGCAGGGAGCTAAAAGTGCACGTTACTCTTAAACACCTCTGTCAATCTCTAACTGCTTCTGGTGAGTTAGAGATGTTGTCATGGTAACATGGTAACGTGACGTATGACACGTTCTCATAACTATTTATCAGTTAAACTGTTATTCCCGAACTTTACTTCCAAACTTGTAAACTTTGTTTAGACAAATTCAGATCCGCTTAATGTGATATTTACATTCATCGTAACATAGAGATGCAAACGTTATCCCAAGAAATGGTAGTGGTAGTGGTTGTGGTACAATTCTACGTACTCAGCACAGTATGCAATATATATACTGTATATACAGTGTGTATATTGCGTACAATATAATATAGAGTATTTGTCATGGTAAAATAGCTAACATGCAGTAGTTATGACGGCAAGCCCAGGGAATACAGTATTTAATACCACTACCACGCGCACGTCTTGCTTGTAGTTCTCGTAAACACCTCAGCAACCCATTTAACGGTTAAACTGCTCAAGGGAAATATTGGATAGGTTCAAAAACAGTTTTCTTCCAAATTTTACCACGAACGCTTATGATTTTAGTATGGAATTAATGTTATATCGTAACTATGTCTGCTTATTCTCGATATTATATCCCTGGGGGTCAGCAAATTTCTACACCCAAATATCGGCTAAAAAATGGCTGGAGTTGAAGTAGAAATTAAAGACAGTCAGAAGAGGAAGAGTGTAATCTGAGGTTATCATTATTATTTTATACAATTATTAAGTGTCACGGGGTTCAACGCCTTTACTCCAGGATAGAGAAAGCAGCTCTAATACCACTTGTTTCTCATTCTCGCGAGTCATTGAAGAAGCGCATTGATTGAAATGACGCCAGCAGAAATATTGAGTAGTTCTGAAATTGTCTAAACATGGTTAACGGAAGTATATTTCTGCAACCCGTTTAACAGTTAAACAGATTGTTGACGTTTTTATAGATGCAAATTCCAGACAAACAAGTTACAAGTGCACACTACATGGTGCCCCACTACTCAGTGACACATGGTGCCCCACTACTCAGTGACACATGGTGCCCCACTACTCAGTGACGCATGGTACCCACTACTCAGTGACACATAGTGCCCCACTACTCAGTGACACATGGTGCCCCACTACTCAGTGACACATGGTGCCCCACTACTCAGTGACACATGGTGCCCCACTACTCAGTGACACATGGTGCCCCACTACTCAGTGACACATGGTGCCCCACTACTCAGTGACACATGGTGCCCCACTACTCAGTGACGCATGGTGCCCCACTACTCAGTGACACATGGTGCCCCACTAATCAGTGACACATGGTGCCCCACTACTCAGTGACGCATGGTGCCCCACTACTCAGTGACACATGGTGCCCCACTACTCAGTGACACATGGTGCCCCACTACTCAGTGACACATGGTGCCCCACTACTCAGTGACACATGGTGCCCCACTACTCAGTGACACATGGTGCCCCACTACTCAGTGACACATGGTGCCCCACTACTCAGTGACACATGGTGCCCCACTACTCAGTGACACATGGTGCCCCACTACTCAGTGACACATGCTGCCCCACTACTCAATGACACATGGTGCCCCACTAATCAGTGACACATGGTGCCCCACTACTCAGTGACACATGGTGCCCCACTACTCAGTGACACATGGTGCCCCACTACTCAGTGACGCATGGTGCCCCACTACTCAGTGACACATGGTGCCCCACTACTCAGTGACGCATGGTACCCACTATTCAGTGACACATGGTGCCCCACTATTCAGTGACACATGGTGCCCCACTACTCAGTGACGCATGGTGCCCCACTACTCAGTGACGCATGGTGCCCCACTAATCAGTGACACATGGTGCCCCACTACTCAGTGACACATGGTGCCCCACTACTCAGTGACACATGCTGCCCCACTACTCAATGACACATGGTGCCCCACTAATCAGTGACACATGGTGCCCCACTACTCAGTGACACATGGTGCCCCACTACTCAGTGACACATGGTGCCCCACTACTCAGTGACACATAGTGCCCCACTACTCAGTGACACATGGTGCCCCACTACTCAATGACACATGGTGCCCCACTAATCAGTGACACATGGTGCCCCACTACTCAGTGACACATGGTGCCCCACTACTCAGTGACACATGGTGCCCCACTACTCAGTGACACAATTTGCCCCACTACTCAGTGACACATAGTGCCCCACTACTCAGTGACACATGGTGCCCCACTACTCAGTGACACATGGTGCCCCACTGCGCTACCAAAACTGTGCTCACTACTATTATTTGTATGCAAAATGGTGCAATTTAAAGATAAGACAAGAAATCAACGAAACGTATGTATATCTTTATCTTTGAAGGTTATATATTTAAAGGATGAGAGTTTGTAACCATTACCACCCAGGTGACGGTACCCCTAAGTACAACTGTGTGGACTGTTCTGAGAGTTTCACGGAGAAGCAGACTCTGAAAGCTCACATACAATCTAAACACACCAGTATGTTGGCTTGTAAAGGATGCTTTATGATGTTCCACTCCAAGGAGGAGCTATCTGATCACGACTGTGGATACCTCACTGTGCAGGTTAGTTACTATGGTTACTATGGTTACTATGGTTATTATGGTTACTATGGTTACTATGGTTACTATGGTTACTATGGTTAGTGGTTACTATGGCTACTATGGTTACTATGGTTACTATGATTATTATGGTTACTATGGTTACTATGGTTACTATGGTTACTATGGTTACTATAGTTACTATTAAGATGCAGCCTGTATGTTAAGCGAGTGATGTTAACGTGTTACATATCGGTAACTATGGTTACATATCGGTAACTATGGTTACATATCGGTAACTATGGTTACATATCGGTAACTATGGTTACATATCGGTAATGTCACTAATGTGGTACCTCTCCAGTGCAAGCAGTGCTCAATGAAGTTGCGGAACAAGCCAGAATTGGAGGAACACATGATATCTCACATTTCAATCAACGTTAACAAACAATACTGTACTCTCTGCAACCAACAGTTCTCCAGGTAATCTATAATTTATTAGTTTATTAATTAGTTAATTAGTCCATCAATTGATTATTATTTAAATTTAACGAGGGGGGGGGCCGAATTGGAACTGAGCGAGAGATTAGAAACTATTAGAATAAGTCCCCGAACCAGAGACAAATAATGATACCAAAATACCCCGCCTCTTCTAGCACCTTCGAATTAAAACAAAGATGGGCTGCTGATAATTATTATAATTATAAAACAGGATCTTACCGCATGCAGCTATATCTCCAATTTCGCTGCTGATAATAGAAAACTAAACCCTTTCATAGATTATGTTCGTATAAGATACTCTTCCATCTCCAACAATTTGATCAACAACCTGGCATTGTGCCAAACAACACACCTTTCATCTGTTTTGTCACTCTAGTATGCCAGATATCCCATTTTATTGATTGCCTGAACTTTTTGTTTCTATTCTTAGCTCTGTTGCTTTCATTTTGTTAATTTGTAGTTTAGCGTGGGTTGCGGCGAGACAAATTATCTTCTTTAAAACTCGTGTTGTAAAACTCAATATCAAACATATTTCTGTTAAAGTAAACTCTGAAATGTGACCCTTAAACTGCTCAACTTCTACACTGTCTGCTGGGGAGGTTAATTTTCATATTTCATATTTCAACATGTTTTAAGTTTCAAGTCAGAGAAAATGAAATGGCGGGGATTATTCATCAAAATCTGAAGTTGTAAATATTACAAACAATATACTTAGTAAGTAAGAAAGTGTCTATGGATGGAACGATTGTCCCTCTTCCCCCTCGACTCTCGAGCCATGAGTTCTACTCTGTTATCAATAATGTTAAACATGTTACATTGCCCCCCCCCCCCCCCTCAACATTCCAGCCTCTTAACACAAAACACTCTTCAGTTTATCAGAGTTAGAGTCCCACGAGTGCAGAGAGAAGGAGTCTGGGGAGGAAGCGACACGTGATGCCCATATAAGGGAAGACTCTACACTGAAAGTATCTGATTTATCCACTGCTGAGCTCCAGCTATTATTAGATACTCTTACTGGTGAGCAATCTTTTTCCGTACAAGAATTATAATATTATTTTAACTGTTTGAGAATAGTAAATTTTGTGAGATGTTTCTTGCTCGGAAATGTCTTGTTAATACCTCCCCGCTTAGGTGGACTAGGGAAAGCTCAGAACTCCCCAACAAAGAAACCGAACTCAGCTCTCAACTCTAGTCCGGGTATATCCACACCCCTTTCCACCCCTTCTTCAACTCCCGTCTCTACTCCCATCTGCTCCACAAGTAGTAGTAGTGATGGTCCTATAGTATCTACTCCTACCTCTACGGGAGGAAAGAGTAAAGCCTCCCCCTCTAAAGTGCCCAGCACCCTGGCTGGGATAATATCCTCTCTATTTGGTCCGGGGATGGGCGGACTCAGTCCTCAGGTGTGTAGTCTATTGTATTGGTAGCTAGCGGTTCCAGATTCTTATTTCTTTATTTTAATTGACCATAAATCTTAAGCTGTAATATCTATTAGTTTATCTCGTAACTCGTTCAAGTATTCAATTATTTCTTTTCTGAGTTTACAGTTTTAAGCAATTTGAAGCACAACCAAATGTCTTTGTTGTAATTGATAATATTTTGATTAACCATTATCAGGAGCAATATAACTTTTCCTCCCCCAGGCTGTTCTAGAAGCCTTGTCGGAGCTCCCTCCTGCTAAAGTAACGGAACTGCTCACTACTCTGACTGTTAATCAGGACATGCTGACCTCACTAACAGGCGTTAGCTCTCTTACTGGCGGGAGTATGAGCACAAGAGAGCTGGATTGCTTGCAGAGTACAAGAGAGGGGATCATATCCTCCCTCGCTACGAACCCTCCTAAACTCCCAGACTCTCTTGTTGCTGACAAAGATGTTAGGTTAGTGTTATATCAGGCGATATTCCTTGTTATACTCTCAGTAATTCTCAACGTTTTACTGTAGTCCCTCTTTATAAGTACGATTATTGTTTAATGGTGATTATCATGATCAAATTCTTGCTACGAAATGTAGTTGAAACAAAACAATATTCACATGGTTCCTCCCTCAGAATGAAAACAGCTGAATTGCCTGCGGAGTTGCCGTGTCCCCGATGTAAGGACAAGTTCATCACAAAACAAGCTCTAGCGAGTCATCTACAGGCTTGTGCTGCTCCCTCTGATAGACCAGCTCAACAAACTCCCAACAAAACAGCCTCTAAAGGCTCTAAACCTAACTTGAAACTCATTCACAGACAGCTCTTTATTGCTGCTCAGAACATTGACGTTTCTCTTCTAAATATCAGCCAGGTACCATAGTAACCATAGTTGATAGAAACCATAGTAACTATAGTAACTATAGTAATCAGATACCTTGTAGATGCACATTCTGAAGAGTGTTTTTAACTAACTGTAATAATCGGATAATTTTCGGAACATTCCTCTTTGAGATTTATGATTTGGAATTAACCATAGTAACCAGGTATCTGTAACCATAGTAACCAGGTAATAGGTATCTGTAACCATAGTAACCAGGTATCTGTAATCATAGTAACTAGGTATCTGTAACCATAGTAACCAGGTATCTGTAACCATAGTAACCAGGTATCTGTAACCATAGTAACCAGGTATCTGTAATCATAGTAACCAGGTATTCGTTAGTTGATAACTAATTTTACTACAGGTGGAGACACTAATACAAGTGTTAGCATCAGAGGACGGTATAAAGAGTGTACCCCAAGCCAGGGTTGTAGATTTGTTGGACACTATTGAGAAATGGGTCAAGAAGAAAGAGGTTGGTATTTGTATCTTATCCTCCTCATTGTGAAGCCGTTTCTTTCCTAATACACTACATTCCCAACAAGAAGCTTTATATTGTGAATATTTCAAATCTGATAATGTTTCTTTTAATCAGGCATTGGAGAGAGAGATGAGAAAGAAAGCCAAGTTGTCCCAATCTCCGTCAGCATCTCCCAAACCAACTCAAAACTTACCAATACCTGCCCGCAACTCACCCTTACCCTTATCAGCTAGGAACTCACCTCTTCCTAAAGATACCGTCACCAGCCCTCGAGTCAGTAACACTAAAAGTACTACTAGTTACCATGACAACACTACTACTACAAATAAGAACTTGTCTCCGGTGAAGCCACCCTCTCTTACAGACTGCTTACCCCCTCAGATTACTGCTGCTATCCTACCTGCTATCAAGGTAATTATATTGCAATAGTTAGCTTAATCAAGGTAGTTCTAACAGCTGCTCTCACTAGTACTTAGGATGTTTATATCTATCCAGCTACACTGCCCTTTCTGTTTTTAAGTTTTACTTTTGATTTATAGAGAATGTAAGTTGGTCCGTTATATCGCTGGTTACTGCAATAAATTCTCTCACACAATTTCTCATCTCCTCACACAGCCCTCTTCAGGACGAACAGACTGACCTGGGGTTGTTAACTAAGATCTGTACTGGTATGGGCGGGTGCAATGTCTCCCTCCCTGAGTCTCTCTCCACCCATCTCTCTCTTGCTGTCACCAAATCTATCCAGGTATGATATGACGCACTTTAAATAGTGATAATATACAGTTACGATCATGATATCTTTTGATAGTAGTTTTATTTTGATTACGTTCTAAGTCTAACGAGATATTCCATCAGATCTTGCGACATCCAGACTCCACCAACAAAAGCACTCTGTCGGAGCTGAAAGCGATCATCATCAGCATCTTGGGAGATAAAAGTAGTTCAGATAACTCAATAAAACAGGGCATTATGAACGTTCTGAAGAGGAACTACAGAGCAAGAGACTTGCACGGAACCACCACGGTGGATCTGGATACTTTTGTTCAGTATTTAGTGAAGGCAGTGTTACCAGGTTTAGGTGAACTCAGTCCTAACTTGTTGACATTGCCGTTCTTGTTGGACCTGGTGTTGAAGAATAATAAGTTCGTGGGACATGTCACTACTTCTTGTTCCAAAACGTTGAGTTCAGTTTCAGAAACTGCTGTAAGTACCAGTTCGGTGTCAAATAATTCAACAGTAGCCAGTTCAAGTTGAAATCGGAGTTTTTAGCTTACGCGTTGAGTAGTCATAACGTTTCCATCTATTTGAGTCTTTATTGATATTATGTTTATATGAGTTTAAATTATTATTTGTTTTTAAGCCTAGGGCAGATATGTCTGTTTTTCGAATCATATTATCATGTTGCATTTTAGCTTTTAATCACATTGATTACCAGTACCACTTTACAATTTATCATCAATCATGAGATTTAATTTCATGAACTGTATAATCTGATAACAAATTATTACCTAGCTTGCTAGTCTAATGCTCGCTCCTCTCACGTATGCAGTATGTGAGAAGCTAGAAAAGAGCGCCGTGCATTGGGGCTGGCGCACCAGGTAGGGTTGCAAAGGTACGCCTTGTACATTGTAGGTTTGTAACCTACCAACAACCAAGACGCGCACGCCAAGTCGGACTCGTCGACGGTCTTAATTGGAACAAATATTTTGCGAGTATCACCCGTAAAGGTTAATTGACGATGTCAATTCATCGCAGCTCGGCGAGGCCCAGTAGCGCATCTCGCCGATCTAGTATAATTGAGTGCTCGGCACAATAACTAATCGCGCTACAACCTTGACGGATGTTACTCGTCTTGCTCTAACCAGAGCCCTCTCGCTTGCAGTAGCGCGCGACCGCCGGAGTTGTTGTGAAACAAGCGCGTCACGCAGTACGCGTAGGCACATGGCTATGTGAATTACTCGTCTAAATTTCTTCGAAGTAGCGCGCGCCGCTTACTTCTCGAAATGGCCCGATGGCAAGTGCTACGAAGTAGCGCGCGCCGGGCCAGATCATTAACAATGGTCAAGCTACAACCGTTAAGGTAAGCCAAATAATATCGAATATGAGGGAGGTAAAAGCCCATTTAAAGTAGCAACTAGAGATCACGAACTCTTCTAATACATTCGAAGCTGGACGAGATTGAAAAACCATAAACAATTAAGGTTTGCTAAAAATTGGGATGATGATTAATCACTCTACACTCGACTGTCACGTGACTTTTTCAACCCGTTCTCTAGCTGGCCCTGAAAGACTATTCGAAACCCTAACCCTGTAGTCTGATTCCAACCCTAACCCTAACCCAATCCATAACAAAAGCATATGCTGAAACCCTAACCCTAACGAGAAATTAGACTAACTTCCTTATATGGTCATATCACGTGATCGAGACAGTTTTTCGCCAATATCTCGTCAGGGGAGCATTTTAACCCTATGTCATGGGGGGTGATTCGGAATCAGCGTCCGAAAATACATCAATTGAAGTTGGTTTCAACTGTCGGGAGCCCTTTTAGAACAATCTCGAAGATCGACTGTAGAGTGATTTAGCACGCTCGTAAAAATTGTGAGTCAAATAAGGAAAACAAAATTTTAAGGAAAACAATTAAACTCTTCTGACAATGGTCCTTAAATTATTTCACCCTTAATGCAGGGACTAGTATATTTTTCCGACTAGTTGGGGCCTCACAACCCCGCATACCCGAGTGCTTCCCATTCCATTTTTGAGAGTTTGGCTTCTTTTTACAGCTAACATCCTTTAGTTCAATTTATAATTTTCTGATATAATTGGAGTATTAACCCTTATCTTTATTAGGTACTGAAGATGTCCGAAAATGTTTTACCAATGATGTTATAAAGATTTTGTTGGAATTTTTAAACCCATTCGTTGTCTGACTGTGGGAACTATTGATTCTTGATCTTTTTAAATGTGCCTAAACTTTTCGTTTCATTGGACTGTACATGTATACATTGTCCATTGTTAATGAACTAGGCCGGCACGCGCTACTTCGTAGCACTTGTCTCCGGCCAATTACATTACAAAAAGAACCCAGAAAACCTTACCGCCTACTGGGCTCGCTAGAGGTGATACTTTTTCAACAGCACGCTTGTAACCGTGCGTCACGTCAAGTTTAATTTTCGCACGCTTGATTGAGCCCGGTAGTCATTACCTGGGGACCTCAGGCTATTATGTTCATAAACATAGATATTATGTTCATAAACATAGAATAGAGATTCGGCTTGTAGCGCGATGCGTTACTGTGCCGCGCCGCGCACTCAATGAGGCTTCTCACAGCGAGATCGGCGAAATGCGCTACTGTTCCGCGCCGAGCTGCGATGAATTGACATCGTCAATTAAAGATTCGGCGGAATGACAGGCTGAGCGCGGCCCAGTAAGGTAGCCATGTCGACCACATTAATTTGCAAAGTTAAAAAGCTTTGTAGGTTTACTACTACTATACAACCTACCAGGACGCGCGCCGAGTTGGATATATATGAAACAGATATTTTACGAGTATCACCCGTTAAAAAAAAGCTGTGATCTTTTATTTAATCCAAAATCAAACTTTTCGATTTAATTCAAAATCTAAGTTGTCCCAAATTTTGCTCTTTGGGAGCTAACTTTAAATTTACGAAACGGAAATTTTATTGAAAACCGACATGTAGAAAAATCTCGAAGATCGAATGTAGAGTGATTTGGATTTAATTTTATTAACGGATGTTACTTGTTTAAATTTCTTCGAAGTAGCACGCGCAACTTTCTTCTCGAAATGTTGTGGGGTGATTCGGAATCAGCGTCCAAAATACACCGATTCTGATCAATTTCACACCCAAAGGACCTTTTCACAAGAATTAGAATTTTCTCAAAATTTGGGCGAGCGATTTAGTAGAAGTGGAATGATTTGGCACGCTCGACTTTTGACTTTGATACAAATTATATCGTATATTACACGTTCAACTTTTTATACCACTTCTCGCAATATATAATACGTGAGAGGAGCGAGCAATATACTAGCAAGCTAGGTAAATACCTTCAAAAGTATAATTGTACAGACAGATCTGTTTAAAAAATCGATTTACCGACACAAAAAGCTTCCAAAGGATTTTTGATTAACACACGTTGTATACTTGATCAGACCCAATAAAAGTCACCCCAAGAACAACCAGAGACATCTGTTCTTAAACCTCCAGGTAATCTGGTTATTGAAAAGATCAGCCCAAACCTGATATCAGCTTTAGAATCATCGAACCTCAGAGAGAGCCCCAGCAGTCCAATGAGCCCTCTGTACAAGTCCTTTCCCCGTGCTGAAGAGTCTGCTGAAGAACTTGAAATCCAGGATAAACCTACAGTAAAACAACGGGCTTCAAAGAGTGATTGTCCTTGCCGATCAACATCAGATGGTAAGGAATGGAAGTTCAAGTGTACCAGATGTTTTCAGCACTGGCATGCTTCCTGTTGCAATCTCAAGGGTGCTAACAACATTCAGCACGATACACCTCTTGAAGCTTCTCTGAATATTATTCTCTCAGAATGGCTATGTCCATGGTGTTTCGATACATCATTCCCCAGACCAGGCTCCAGCATGTCAGCCAAGATGGACAACAACCTAAAGAGCTCTGTAGACTACAGCCAGAACATACAGGCTATATCAGATGCTATTTCTAATGCTGTTGGTAACAGTATGCCTACTGTGGAGATTGTATCCCTGGAGACAAGACTGAAGAAGCTGAGTCAAGAGATTCATGAATTTCAGCAGTCCAGAAGTCCATCTGAAGCACCACCTGCTACAGAAATCCCCCTCCCTAAATGCACAGAACCTCCAGTGTGTGATTACCTGGTCGATGTGCTAAGTGCTGAGATCCTCAAAGAAGTTACAGAGTTTCTCCTGGAGAGCCAAGCTAGCAATAAGTTCATCCCGAAGAATGGAAGACAGGTCCTCAAGTTTGGGGAAGACTACTCTTATACTGGTGATTCAGACCCACCCCTATCCCCCACAATCCCAGCACCCCTTGCCTCAGCCATAGACGGAGTTACATCAAAGTGCAGACTGACCCATAAGCCCAACTCCATCCTAATAAACTACTACCCTCCCTCAGTTGATACCACCACTAGTAGCAAGTTCCCTTTTCACTCTGACGATGAGTCTGAGATTATTGCTAACTCAGAAATTGCTACTATCAGCATAGGCGACGTCAGGAAGGTGTGCTTTAAGTGCATCCATGAGACCGGAAACGAAAGCCTTAACTGAGTATGTTCATAGTGTGAGTCCAGAATCTAACTCAGTGTATGTGATGACACGATCGTCACAAGCCTGGTATCGTCACGGTATTGATGAAACAGGTCCTGCTGAAACTCAGTCTTCTGTGCAGACAGGAAGGTTCTCCATCACACTGAGAACTGTGAGCAAACAGTTTAGCCGGAGCTGCATCATCATGGGCGACTCTAACACCAAGCCCATCAAGTTCGGTGTCGGTACTGGAACCCTTGGACAGTCCTTCCCAGGTGAACGTGTTAAAGCCAACAAGGTCAGTGCAATAGACCCTAAGCTCTGCATTGGTTATAGCAACGTCATCTTAGTTTGTGGGACCAACGATCTACGAGTTGAAAATGTGCAGTCACCTGGTGATATACACCAGCTGGTAGACATTCTCCACCTGAAAATCCAGCAGATCCAGAAACTGTGCCCTAAGGCGAAGTTGTTTGTCACAGCAGTTTTCCCGTCTAGACTCCCTAAGATGAATAAAAACATTATGGCATTCAACAGCTTGGTTGATGAAATGTTGTACTCTAGCTTTAACCAGAATGTATGGCACCTTGGTGTTGGCCACTTTTTAGACGGTAAAGGGTTGCTTGCTATGAAACTCACGAGAAATGGTGATGAAATCCATCTCGGAGAGCTTGGTATTGCTAAATTTGTGAGATGTCTGAAACAGTGGGTGTATGTGAGGGAGAGACAGGAGAGAGTAAGACAAAGGAAGGCCACCCGACCAGTGGGAGTTTATCCCACTTAGTTTATCATGATTATGAAACTTATTAAAGATGTGTGCGACCCCTGTAGTAAATACATTAATATTGGCCAGCCACTCTTAGAATGTGAAAATTGCAGCAAAGTTGTTCATACTAAGTGCTTCAGATCCGCGAAATTTACAAGCAAAAACGGTCTATGGATGTGTAGTGATTGCTGTAGTACAATAGAAGATAGGTATTGCCCATTTCCAAGCAGCCAAAGATATGATGATTCAGATAAATTCTATGATACAAACAACCAGGAAGATGTCACCATAGCTAAATTCTCTTCAATACTTGAAGACTGTAAGCGTTACACAAAACAAGAACTAGCAAACTCAATCAGCAAACTTTTTCCTGAGAAAAATAAAAATTCTGCTTATCTGCCTGCTCTGTTTTGCAATATAGATGGGTTTGCTAGTAATTTTGACAGCTTTTTAATAGAACATAAGACCCTCCCATGTAATTTTGATGTCATTGGATTGGCTGAGACCAACATCGATCCAAGCCAACAAGGCTTATACCAAATCCCCTCCTATACAACATTTTGTCAAGTACCATTCCCTGATAAGAAAAAAGGAACAGGAGTATCCTTATATGTCTCTGATCAGCTGAATGCTGTAGTAATCGAAAATCTATCTCACTGTACAAAAGATATTGAGTGCTTATTTGTTGAAATTACTCTTAGCTCGGGTGATAAACTGACATATGGGGTTGCTTATCGTCCTCCAAATGGCTGTAGTGAGACCTTTTGTCAAACTCTTGAGGATATATCTAAGCAGTTGGCTGGTAAAAAGTTCCATATTCTTGGCGATTTTAACTCTAACCTCCTCAATGTACAAACCTCCAGCCAGTTATTTGAGGACACGTTACTTCGTAACAATATGTATCCTACTATATCACTTGCTACCCACTTCCGTCCTAACTGTAAAAACTCATGTATTGACAATATCCTCACATCAGAGATAGATCATGTACTTCTCTCCGGTGTATTGAATGATAGGATTGGTGACCATGCCTTTATATTCACCTTCACGTCAATTCCTACCGAAAACAGTACTGAAAAACTTAAACATGTTCGCTACTATGATTATTCAAGTTCCAAACTCACTAATTTTGTTAATGAACTCGAGGTGAAGGTGAATGACTTAACTCCCTCGGTAAACTTCAATGAGTTCTTGGACTGCTTCAATGAAACACTTGATAAACACTGTAAGCTTGACGTACCAAAAGTTACCAAAAGGACTCCCAAACTCAACCCGTGGATTACCGATGGAATCATTGTCTCAGTTGAAAGAAAACATGAACTCTGTAGAGACTGGTCAAGCACTGTAACAAATAGAAACCCTGAGGGTAATGTACTGCTCTATAAAGTCTTCAGTGACTACCGAAGAATGCTTAAAAGTATTATCAAGGTCGCCAAACGATCGTACTACTGCAATGAAATCCATAAAAATATAGAAAACAGCAAAAAAACGTGGCAGATAATCAATGAGCTCAGGGGCAAGAAAAAGAAGCAAACTAAGCCTCCCTTTATCATAAACAACGAACGAATCATGAATCGTAGAGTCATAGCCAATGGATTCAACTCTTACTTTGTTTCTATTGCCCCTAAGCTCAATGAAACACTTAGTAGCAGTGAGGCCTCTGGTTTACCAATTCTCCCTATAAAAACATTCTATGATTTCCTTGGAAAGACTAATGAAAAATCGATTATGTTAGAAGACTGTACACCTTATGAGATAACGGAAATAATAAAAGGATTTGAAAATGGAAAAGCAAGTGATATTCCTGTTAGTGTAATCAAAAGATCATCTCACGTAATTACACCGATCCTTAGTCGATACATCAACATCTTAATGTCTAATGGCACGTTCCCCGACGTTTTAAAGACTGGTAGAATAACTCCTGTATTTAAGAAGGGAAACCCTGAAGAGATAGAAAACTACCGCCCAATCTCTACTCTCTCTATATTTGGTAAAATCTTTGAAAAGATCATTTACTCAAGAATATATTCGTTTGTTAGCTCACAGGGTATAATATCTAAAACACAATTTGGCTTCAGGCAGTCACACTCTACTTCACATGCAGTTAATCACTCAGTAAACCTTATAACTGAATCTCTAAAACTTAAGCATCATGTCTTAGGCATATTCATAGACCTTAGCAAAGCTTTTGATACAATAGATCATGGTACATTACTTGTCAAATTACAGGGCTATGGGATACGTGGGGTGGCAAATGATCTTATAAAAAGTTACTTAACAAATAGATCACAATATACTGAAGTTGTTGGTGAGAAATCTGACGCCTTGAAAATACAGTTTGGAGTCCCTCAGGGTTCGATTCTTGGACCTCTCTTATTTCTCCTATATATTAATGATATCGCCAACAGCTCCAATTTGGGATCATTTGTCACCTTCGCTGATGACACCAATATATTTGTGACTGGGAAATCTAAAAAGGAGGCATATATTATATGTGTGGTAATTCTCTTTTAGCTAGTTTATATTCCTACATGCGAGCAAACAAACTCCATGTCAACTTGTCTAAATGCTGTTTCATTCACTTTAAACCAGCATCGTCCTCCCAGACTGACAATAATTCTGAATATACTCTAACCATTGATAACTTTCCAATAAAACAAGTTGCATCTGCTAAGTTTCTGGGAGTCGTCATCGATGAAAAGCTAACCTGGGAAGAACATATAAAATCACTTAGGCGTTCTCTCAGCCATGCAACATCAACTCTCTGCCGCCTACGCTGCTCCCTCCCAGATTTCTTACACCGCCAGTTGTATTACACTCTATTTGAATCACACCTCTCCTATTGTATCACGGTTTGGGGTGGGGCAGCCAAAACTCGTATAAGTTCTGTATTCAAAGCACAAAAATATTGTCTCAGGGTATAGTACTGTTTGGCGACAGGGAGGCATACCTAGATAAATTTAAGACCTGTGCTCGTGCTCGACCGTTTGGCAACCAAAATCTGAACAAAAAATGTTTCTTGAAAGAGCACACGAAACCTTTGTTCAAGGAACACGGAATACTTGCCGTCCAAAACCTGTAAACTTACCATTGTTTCCTTGAGCTCTATAAAATCATGAAATTCCGTGCTCCGATTTCCCTCCATGAAAATTTCACCTGCTCAAGTAGGAAACCCACCCTTATACTAAGCCAAGCAGACCCCCCTGACAACTTCAATAGCAGAACGACTCGTATTTGGAACGTAATTGTGCCTAAGCTTGGTATACGTGACTACTGTCTAAGTGTGGCCTGCCTGAAGTCTAGGATGAAGCAATCACTGCTCGTCAACCAGCATAACCATGCTGATCTTGATTGGACAAACAAAGATTTCGAATGCTCTAATCTAAATTTTGACATTAAGTCTACCCTAGGGTCCACACATCCAAAATGATTATCTTGAAATTGAAAATTAGCTGGGTGTGCATTTTCCTTTGTCTTACTAACGTGTGTAAGCGCAGTGTAGTGAGAAAGTGTTTTTAACAGATTTATTATTAGACTTAGGATTATGATTTTTAATATATTACATTGATATAAGATTTATTTTTGATAGGTACTTAATAAAGTTGATGAATTTCCCTCCCTATTAAAATTTTAAACCCATTTAGTGAAAATTGATAAACGAAGATCTAGATATTGATACATATTATAACCAACATTGCTTATATTCTGCCTTGTAAACAAAGAGCAAATCTTCTTAATGCCTTCTTCCTGTCCTAAAACTAAAACTTCATCCTATTAAAGTAAAGGCCAGTTGTTACCACAAGCTATTATACCGTCCCTCTCAAAAACATGCCTCAGCCTCCATCAAAAACAATTTTAGTTTTCAGTCCTTCTAGTTTCCAAAAATCTACCGAGCTAGTGTTCTGGTGTGCACAAAAGCCCCTAAGCCCGTGCATTCCTTGCCCCCGCTAGCTGCCAGTCCTTGACAAACTTCCAATAGCAAAGATCAACTAGTCATTTACAAATTGAGCACTATACAATTTTAATTGTTTTAAATATTTGACTTTGTAAAATGAGCTAAAACATTGATTTATTAGTTTCATTGAAAAAAAAAGTTTCATTGAAAGTTAGTAGTGCATCGCGCTACAAACAGTAATATTGCTATGTTGCAGGCTCACTAGAGACCTGATATCGCTTACTCAAGTTAAATTACAGTATTTTTATTTAACGGATGTTACTTGTACACAAAAACACTTTTGTATCCAGTCATTAATGGAAAAATAACTTATTGTTATCATTATTGCAATGATATTGAACGTAACAGTTCGTTTCGTTTTTGTCTAGGGAGCAAGCAAACTTGCCACATCCAGGATCGAGATCGGAATATACAAAGTGGCCCAGAGTAAATGACCACCCTGTATTATACCAGAAATTAGGCAGGATGCTAGGATATGATACATACTTAACTACCTGCCCTATCCTTAATTTATATATTACCAAGGGTATGATTTTTTACTTCAGTTTCTAAAATTTGTACCATATTTATAGCATTTTATAGCATCTATTGTATTGGTTAATTCATTTTTCGAGGGAGTCTATCCTTATAGCCAGACAATTACCATTGCTGAAATTATCTGTAAATACATAAACATATTTAAATGCTCATTTGGTATATGACTTTTTGTCCCCTGTCCTTAAGAAAACAAGAAAGTCCAAAAATCTCGCTAAATTCCAAATTCGCCAGACTCTATAATACATAAGTGTGGCAGGCAGTATCTTCTGTGTTTTATGAAAACCTGGATATCTATTGTCCAAGATTGAAGGTACCAGTTACCGACTTTTAGTTTAGGTGTTAGAAGGTGGTAGAAAAGGTAGACATGAATTGATACCACACGTTGCATTTAATCTTGTGATGTAGTCATATGTAAAAACTAAAAGTGGTGTTAATAAATTAAATACCGAAGTGGCGAAATGATAGAACCTAAAAGTTGGCGAGCAAAATGCTTTTTAAAATGCTTATAACATTGCCATTAAACAGTTTTAAGTCTGATTTACAGCTGCTGGATTTGAAAAGTTGCAGTTTCTATTGTGTCTATTGAAAATTTTCATGTCTGTGTTCACTGTTCTGGTTAACTGGTAGTCAACAATAACTTGTCGATGGTATTTTTCTCACTTTCCTGCCAAACATCTGTTCAGATGAAAGGTAGTTAACAGAAACTTGTCAATGGTATTTTTCTCACTTTCCTGCCAAACATCTGTTCAGTTGAATGCTATTTCTGAGCTATATAAAAAGTATGAGACACATGTACGTGGTCAGTATTTTTTCTAGAAAATTTCAAAGATGTTCAGTGCAGTGTTTTTCTTGGTCTTCTTAGGCCAGGTCCTTGGTTCAAAAGTCGGTATTCTGCACATGCATGGAATAATGGAAAGCTACAAGCAGCATTTTGGATTCAAACAGTTCATTGAAAAAGAGACTAGGATCCCAGTGCACCTGATCAATGCTTACAATGGCATTACCAGTATTACCCCCATCAAATACCAAGCGAAGGACATATTGAAGGATGTAAAAGAAATTGCGTCCCAATACGACCAGATCATTGCAGTGGGCTACTCACAGGGAGGCATTATTTGGCGCACCATGATAGAAATGTGGGAGGATCACAATGTGGTCCTCTTCATCTCTCTAGCTTCTCCTCAACATGGTGTTTATGGTACTCCTCCTTTGTTGGAAATGTTCGTGCCTTTCTTGGACATGTTTTCTCGCAGTAAGACAATATATAAGATCGGATACTCCAAATTCGGCCAAACATTGAGCCTTTTTAACTACTATCTTGACCCAACACATTACAAACTCTACCTGAAAGGAAACAAGTTTTTTCCCTGAACTTAATAACGAGACTGGAACTGCCGCTGAAAAAGAGCTAAGAAAGAAAAACTTTCTGAAATTGTCCAAATTAGTTTTAATTGGAGGACCAGGTGAGAACGTGATCGACCCCTGGCAATCCACAGTATTTGGGTACTACACAAAGTATGGATTCGATAAAGGAATGATCCCGATGGAAGAATCTAGATTCTTTGTTGAGGATTTGTTTGGGCTGAGGAGTTTGGCAGAGAGAGGAGATCTAATGAAGTGTGTCTACCCTGGCATTGATCACTTAAAGTTCAGGGACGACCCTAACATGCTCAGAAGATGTGTCATTCCTGCTTTGAGACCATACTATAATTTAGTGTAAATCATTCTATTTCAATTCAATAATCTGATTTTTAACTTGTGTTGATAATATAACTGATGATTAAATGCGAAATTAAATTCACTAATTTATGCTACAGAGTGGGATACTCTTAACACATAACGCTTCCTGGTGTGAAGGGAAGAGGCCGCTTCCCTATGTTACTGTTTGCTAACAAATACTGGGGTAGGTTTGCTATATAGTGTTTCTCAGAGATGGCTATAAATTATGCCAATAAATATCCAGCATTTGGACTGAAAACAATTTAGGGAATTAATCAATAATACTGTTTACTGACCAATACTGGGGTAGGTTTGCTATAGTGTTTCTCAGAGGTGGCTATAAATTATGCCAATAAATATCCAGCATTTGGACTGAAAACAATTTAGGGAATTGATCAATAATACTGTTTACTGACCAATACTGGGGTAGGTTTGCTATAGTGTTTCTCAGAGATGGCTATAAATTATGCCAATAAATATCCAGCATTTGGACTGAAAACAATTATAAATTATGCCAATAAATATCCAGCATTTGGACTGAAAACAAGAATTTCGCCGCGGTAATACCACGCACGATCAAATTTCCCTACTGCATACAATTAAATTGTTCTACTTTATTGTATCCCAGAGTGGTGTTTGGCGCATGTACAATGTAATAAACGTTTATATTATATTAGGCGTGCAGAACTTGAAAAATCCTGCGCGCATCTGAGGTGTCGCCGTCGATCTGTATGTGGTTTGGTTGTAGATCATTTCATACTTTGCGCGGTTTTGTTTCGTGTTAACAATAACGATATGCGTATCATGTCACGTCATATTACTGCATCGTATGCCAACTTATTGACTGTAATAAAATATGCTGTCTCGTCTTAGTTATTATTTGTATCTAACATAAACTAAAACATTTTGATTCTTACTCGACACATCACAGCACCATCGACTTTCGAGCCTTTTATTTGATATAGGATTCTTGTTAAAAGCATACCACAATCTTGATATTATAGTTGCTTCTTGAATGTAACTGTGAAGTAACATTTGTTCTCAACTATGTATTCCAATGCTTTCTACCATTCAGTGTCGATTAACTGTTAAATAATCAGCCCACAGCCACGAGTTTATCAGCTGACATCATAATTTTATTTGTTTTGACTTGCTGAATTTTATCACTCGGTAATTTGTTAAGCTTGTTTCACACAAATAACACCTATATTGATGATTGATCCGTTTGTAACAGTCGTCAAGCACCAAAAACTGGTTGCTATGCCTGTAATTAATTAACTCATAACCAGCGTCGCGCGCGCAAAATAGACTCCTTTTATACACATAATTATAGGGGAGTGGTCTATATTGCGAAGGAGCAGACTTTTGTCGACACCGTAGGACCGTCGGGCCACCTCATATATCCAAACCCGATTACTTATTCCCTACGATCTTTTTGCCTTCGGCAAGAGTAGGGAAAAAAATTTAGGGAATTAATCAATAATACTGTTTACTAACCAATACTGGAGTAGGTTTGCTATAGTGTTTCTCAGAGATGGCTATACATTATGCCAATAAATATCCAGCATGTGGACTGAAAGCAATTTAGGGAATTAATCAATAATACTGTTTGCTAACCAATACTGGGGTAGGTTTGCTATAGTGTTTCTCAGAGATGGCTATAAATTATGCTAATAAATATCCACTCGAGTGAATATTTATGTAAACCTTTAGCTTTGTAAGTTTAATTTTAGTTCCTACCTCAGTTGTCACTGATGATATCATGGTTTTGTATGATTGAAATATTTGCCTGATTCAACCTGTCGTTTCTATTTGTATTATACCTTTAAATAGCTTTATAGACCTTTTACTACAAAAAAAAGTTATGAGCAAGTAAGAACACGTGGTTTCACACATGTGTAACTTTGGGGGGGGGGGGGACTCGTCCCGCTCTCACAAGTACTATGTGAACGGGGAAATGTCGGCTCCCTGACTGCGGTTGCCCAAATTAATTAATTAATAACTAGACCACATTTTTTGAAGGATGGCTTTTGTGAGTAAAATCCTTCGTCAAAAGGTTCCCTTAGGGAGACTCCTCTCATACCAGTCATTGTACGAGTGCACAGAGAACCACGGTTTGGTCCCACCATCAGGATCAACTCATCAGTCTATTATTGAAAAATTGTCCGGCAACTCTACAAACACAGTGGTGAGATGTTTTAAAAAATTCAGCTGTGCAAGTTTTAATTTAAATTTAACAATACAGCATTAACACACTGATTTCTGCATAATTGGGAGGATACGAAGTAAGCACAGTAAATCAGGGTTTTGGCTTATAAGTATTCGTGTGCAAATTATGGTTATGGTGGATAAGGAATCAGGTTTAAATGGGTAGACATGTGAGCTGATAAACCTGAAAAGCTGGCTTGAAACCAGTGTACTATTTAGGATAAAATCAAGCTCAATAGTAAATTCATTTCAAACACATCAGAGAAAAGGAATTGGTGCTGCTAATCGGGGAGTTTTATTGTTCGTAACTATTTGTAATACAAAGAAAACGTACAATTATTCAGCCAATCCCCACAGGAGAATATGATGACTGGGAAAGTCTTATCTTTCAGTCAGATTGCTGATGATACTTTGAAGGCAGCTGCAAAGATAAAAGCATGTGGAGTAAAGCCAGGGGATCATGTCATGCTGTTCAGTCCAAACAATGAAAACTACATTGCAGCTCTAATCGGATTGATGTCCATTGGGGCAATACCTTGTCTTGCAAATCCTGCCTACACAGGTAACCACCTAGTAACCACTTAGTAACCACCTAGTAACCACTTAGTAATCACATAGTTACAACATTGAAACCACATAGTTACCACTTTATCTCAGAGTACGAACTTGGTGAAATTTGCAAGGCAAGTGACGCAAAGTTCCTGATCGGATCCAAAGCAAACGGACATGTAGCTAAGAAGATATCAGAAGACCAGAACGTACCGGTACTCTGCAATGTGGATGACTTGCCGGAATTTAGCAGTGGCTGTGCTCCAATCAGTGAGCTGTATCCTGCTGATCTGGACGATGTTGCTGTTATCGGTTACAGTAGTGGAACTACAGGTATGTTATATATATACCATCTAGTTACCCCTTAGTTACCACCTAGTTACCACTTAGTTACCACATAGTTACCACATTGTTACCACATTGTTACCACGCAGAAATCGTATAACAAACGCAGTTAGCGTTCTTGAAATAAACTTTCAGCCTCAATGGGCCTGACTAACGCACAAACTTGGTCCATAACTAAATTAAAGGGCAAGCAATTAATGAGCAGTCTAATTCTAATTATGTTAATTATGATGTAATATTATTCCATAGGATTACCAAAAGGCGTACAACTGACACACGGTAACTTGGCGTATCAGCGCACTATGGTTGGTTACGAGAAAGTGTTTCCTAGCTTGGGGGCAACTCAGGTCAGCAGACTTCAAGTATAACTTTATATCAGAAGATACCCCGTCCTCTCCCCCCCCCCCCCCCCCCCCCCCCCCCCCATATCCACACATCCAACCTAGGTGGGAGAAGAAGAGGCTAACCCCAACCTCTCCAACCTCCCCCACCACACCCCTTCCACACCCCTTCCACACCCCTTCCACCCTCCTTCCACCCCCCTTCCAACCCCCTTCCAACCCCCTTCCACCCCCCTTCCACCCCCTTCCACACCCCTTCCAACCCCCCTTCTACCCCCTTCCACCCCCCTTCCACCCCCTTCCACACCCCTTCCACCCTCCTTCCACCCCCTTCCACACCCCTTCCACCCCCTTCCACCCCCCTTCCACCCTCCTTCCACCCCCCTTCCACCCCCCTTCCACCCTCCTTCCACCCCCCTTCCACCCCCCTTCCACACCCCTTCCACCCCCCTTCCAACCCCCCTTCCACCCCCCCCCCCTTCCACCCCCCTTCCAACCCCCCTTCCACTCCCTCCTTATGTTTCTAACAATCACCTCAGGCCCTAATAATGCCGTGGTACCACGCATTTGGTTTCACTCAACTCAGTCTCAGTATTGAGATCTCGTCGGATATAAAGTTCCTGTCTCACTTTGATCCCGCCATATTCCTCAACACTATACAGACGCACAGGGTGAGCTCATTTATCTTACTTTAGTGTTAAATCAACAAACTATGTAGTGAAGGGAAATTGTCTGAATGTTTATTAATTTGAAGCTCCTTGGTTAATTTAATTAATGTAATGTTTCTTAAATGTTGCTCAATTTAACAATTTATTCTTTTCAAACTCCTTAATTAATCTAATACTTCTTGGATGTTGCTCAATTCATTAATTCTGAATAGTCTGTACGAGGTAATGACTGGTATTAAGTGAATGAAAACTTACCTAGATTGCAAAAAGTGTATTAAATTACACATTATATTCGAATATACATATTAGGACCTTTTTAAGGGTACGTGTCCACTATCCACTCATTACGAGTGTTTTATAACACGACATGTATCAGAGGCAGTGGTACCACCACTTCCGTGGTGTTTAGCTTCTTGCAAACTCTTAGTTGCCAAGTAACCACTTGGTTATCAATGTAATCACGCCACCCACACAGTGATAGCCTTTCTCTGGTGTAATTGTAAAGGTAGGATTGGTTACCACCTAGTAACCACCTAGTTACCAGCCAGTAACCACCTGGTTACCCGCTCTGTCATTGTAAAGTTGGTGTCTTGTAGCTAACACCCTGAAAATACCAACCACATTTTAGCTACAACCTAGTTACTAAACAATAACGAGCCAGTAACCACCTAGTTACTACATAGTAACCACGTAGTTACCACGTAGTAACCACGTAGTTACCACCTAGTTATCACCTAGTAACCACCTAGTTACGACCTAGTTACCACATAGTTACGACCTAGTTACGACCTAGTTACCACCTAGTTACCACCTAGTAACCACCTAGTTACCACCTAGTTACCACCTAGTTACCATCTAGTTACCACCTAGTTACCATCTAGTTACCACCTAGTTACCAGCTAGTTACCACCTAGTTACCATCTAGTTACCACCTAGTTACCATCTAGTAACCACCTAGTTACCACCTAGTTACCATCTAGTTACCACCTAGTAACCACGTAGTAACCACCACCTTGTTTCAGCCCGCAGTATTAGCAGTGGTACCTCCAATACTGTTGTTTCTAGCGAAGCACCCTGCTGTAGCACAGTTCGATCTGACAAGTGTAAAGGAGTGTATATCCGGAGCTGCACCGCTAACACGTGATCTGATAAACGAGCTAATGACCAAACATCCTAACTTAACCGGCTGCAGGCAAGGTTAGCTGTTTATTAGAGTTAGTAGCTTATAAACCTTTATTAAGCTGAAAAATAGTTTTATCAAATTTATGCAAAGACTAGTAAGCCAGTAACCACATAGTTACCACCTAGTAACCAGCCAGTAACCCCCTAGTAACCAGCCAGTACCCAACCTGTAACCAGCCAGTAACCACCTAGTTACCACCTAGTAACCAGCCAGTAACCACCTAGTTACCAGCCAGTAACCACCTAGTAACCAGCCAGTAACCACATAGTAACCACCTATTTACCACCTATTTACCACCTAGTTACCACCTAGTAACCACCTAGTTACCAGCCAGTTACCACCTAGTAACCACCTAGTTACCAGCCAGTAACCACCTAGTTACCAGCCAGTAACCACCTAGTTACCAGCCAGTAACCACCTAGTTACCACCTAGTTACCACCTAGTAACCACCTAGTTACCAGCCAGTAACCACCTAGTTACCAGCCAGTAACCACCTAGTTACCACCTAGTTACCACCTAGTTACCGCCTAGTAACCACATAGTTACCATTTAATAACCAGCCAGTAACCCCCTAGTAACCAGCCAGTAACCAACCTATAACCAGCCAGTAACCACCTAGTAACCACCTAGTAACCAGCCAGTAACCACCTAGTACTCTAGTAACCATCCAGTAACCAATCTGTAACCAGCCAGTAACTAGCCAGTAACCACCTAGTAACCAGCCAGTAACCACCTAGTTACCACCTAGTTACCACCTAGTTACCGCATAGTTACCACCTAGTTACCACCTAGCCCATCTAGTTACCACCTAGTTACCAGCCAGTAACCACCTAGTTACCAGCCAGTAACCAACCTGTAACCAGCCAGTAACCACCTAGTTACCACCTATTTACCAGCCAGTAACCACCTAGTTACCAGCCAGTAACCACCTAGTTACCGCCTAGTTACCGCCTAGTTACCACCAAGTTACCACCTAGTTACCAGCTAGTAACCACCTAGTTACCACCTAGTTACCACCTAGTTACCACCTAGTTACCAGCCAGTAACCACCTAGTTACCAGCCAGTAACCACCTAGTTACCACCTAGTTACCACCTATTTACCAGCCAGTAACCACCTAGTTACCACCTAGTTACCACCTAGTTACCACCTAGTTACCACCTAGTTACCACCTAGTTACCACCTAGTTACCACCAAGTTACCACCTAGTTACCACCTAGTTACCAACTATTTGTACAGGTTATGGGATGACCGAAACTACAGCGGGTGCAGTGTTCCAGATGACTGGTTGTACTAAACATGGCAGTGTTGGTACTCCATTACCTTTCTGTAAATTCAAGGTTAGTTATATTAAATAACTTAAACAACTTAATGTAAGGTTAGTTATATTAATATGGTTATATTGTTATTATATATATAGTTAGTTACATAGTTATCCTCCTCGTCTTTAAATTTCCATACATTTTCTTTCTAGAAGAATACTTGAAAACTCGTGATTTAAGGACTAAGGATGTAACAAAGTTAGTGAGTTACTGATCTCATGTGACAAAGTTACTGATATCATGTGACCATGTGAGAGGGGGGGGCTGTGAGACTCAATATGATAAACTGGAAGTTTCAGCTCCTAGTTACTCGAGGTGGCTTTATAACCTGGGCCAAGTAGCACTCAGTCACATCTCTCATTATCCCCTGGCTATATATTAGGGAAACTATATTTTTGATGATTCTAAAATTATAAAACATTCTCTTCAAGAGTGCCGTTTATTATTTCCATGTATTAGCAACAAGAGAAACGCCATTGTCGGACGCAAGGAGAGTGAGGACTCCTCAAACTACATTAAATATATTCCTTCTGTAACATCCTCAATAAATATAATGCTTTTGGACACGAAGGGAAACACACAATGTAAGGCTTGAAATCTTCGTAAAACTACATCATTAGAGCCTGTAAAAACATTCAACTTTAAGATAAGCACTCTATCAAGTAAAATTCATATATAATTATAATCATCATAGTTTATTAACTCAAACGTAAAAATTGGCAGGCAATAAATGTATTTATTTGTCTTAATACTCACAATTTGAATACGATGTTGTCACATTGAAACGTTGAATAATTCCTTTCCTGATAAGAGCCTTTTCTTTGTCGCACCAAACGGGATCAATAGAAATTTACCCAAGAAAACATTTCAACTATGCGACTCATAACAAGAATTGCGCCGGTTAGCGGACGCTAGATTTCCATCGCCCGTAATTAATTACAATTAACAATCGTTTCATATTGGTTAAATTACCAAATTTCTTTGGGGCGTTACAGAGAACAAAATGGAGGGATTGCCGTTGTCAATTATTTGAATCGAAAGTTAAACGACCGGACACCGTAGCGCAGCCTGTGCGGTGATATGCATGATGCAGTTAAAAGGACATCTGTCCGACAGCGACTCTTGTCCGACTCAATATGTTACCAGAAAAAAAAAGACATCTGTCCGAAATTGTGATCTAATTGCAATAAGACACATTTCCATTTTCCAATTAGAGACATGATCTGAACTGAGATATGACCTGAGCTGAACTCTACCATAGTTTATTTTCATTTGATGTCAAAAATTGGACAATAGTTTAAATGTTATATAAATAACTGATCTCCATACCGCTCTCCTGTGTGTAATGTAGGCTGTGATGTGATTGGCAGCTTGTTACAGCTTGTTAGTGTACGGCTAGCATGATCCTGTCCTCAAATAGTCAATCACGTATCGATGGATCAGATCTCAATGGATCAAATCAGCATTATATTAGGACTGTGGGAGCAACGTCACAAGATTACACGTGAGCTTGTGAAATACGAACGTGATCTGAAATTGCAAATGTGATCCGAAAGTTGTACAGATGTCGCCAAAAACGACTCCTATCTGACAGCGACTCTTGTCCGAAACCGGTAATTCGACTGTCGGACAGATGTCACCCAATCAAATCTGTGGTAGTTAATACAATGTGAATCATAATAAAATGTATCGTTCATTTCGTCTAAATATAATGAATCAATCTATGGGCAATCATGTTCAACATGATAGTCATAACATCATAATTTATACAACAACATAACGGATTACTAATATCGGGTTGCACCATGACCAAGCACCCACAACAAAATGAGAAGTTTGTATCGCATGAAGTTAACGAAAGCTTAAACGACAAATATCAATGCGAATCAAAATGTATAATAGCGAAAAGAGATATACATGCGCGCCGTACACGATTTATTAGCTCGATTCTTGGTATAGAGTACACCTTGACATAAAAGCATTGTAAAATGCGCGCGCGACCATCAAAAGATAATTTGTAAAGGAGCACGTGTTTGCGGAGGTTAATGCATGTTTTGCTTTGTGACACGACGAAAAACCTATACCCACTATACCCATTCTCAAATCCTACCACTTCTAACCATCTATTGCCTTTTTAGGCGATGGAAAAAATATTACAATCCGGATTTTACGTATTTACTTGTAGTTGTGAAAGTATTTTAAAACTTTAATTACGAATAAATACTCAGAAGTCAAACATATTTTCACACTGATATACGTTTACCGGGGCTGGTTTACAAGGCTAACTACTAGTAACCATAGTAATCATAGTAACCATAGTAACCATAGCTCCATAGTAACCGAGGCTGGCCAGGTTTACAAGGCTAACTACTAAATACTAGTACTCCCTGTGGTTACAAACCTAACAAATACAGCTTCTCAGCATTTCATTACACGTGTAATATTACACGTGTAATATTGAAACCCTTGATTAGATGTTATTATATAGTATCTTAATTCTTAATATAAGAAGTATTAATGTTACCGAGTACCGAATGTTACTGAGTACTGAATGTTACTGGGTACTGGATGTTACTGGGTACTGAATGTTACTGGGTACAGCTGAATGTTCAGCTACTGTCCAGTGTCCACATGCTATTAGTAGCTGAGAAAATATGATAAAACCAAGCTTGGTGCAATGTATGTAAAGTAGTGCAGTGCCTCATTACTCTGTAGGTAAATTTGATGTTTGGTTCTTATAATCATAATTAAATTAATAAACCTGCAGATAATTAATAACCCACTATTTAACTGTACTGCAGGTGGTGGACCCTAAAACTGACGAGGCAGTGTTGGACGGCGGGTCTGGGGAGATACTGCTGGGTGGTCCCTGTGTTATGAAAGGTAGGGGCTGGTTGATCTGTTAAATTATAGTATCCTAAAAATAATGGTCTGCTGTATGTTTTGTATGATGATCAGGCTGTGTTACCCCCTTGTGTTACCCCCCTGTGTTACCCCCTTGTGATACCCCCGTGTGTTACTACTGTGTTACCCCCTCTGTTACCCCTTGTGTTACCCCCTCTGTTACCCCCTTGTGTTACCCCCTGTGTTACCCCCTGTGTTACCCCCTGTGTTACCCTCTGTGTTACCCCATGTGTTACCCCCTGTGTTACCCCCTGTGTTACCCCTGTGTTACCCCCTGTGTTACCCCCTGCGTTACCCCCTGTGTTAACTCCCCGTTGTACAGGATATTACAAGAACGACAAAGCAAACTCAGAGACACTAACAAGTGACGGGTTTGTACGGACAGGAGATGTAGGAACAGTAGATAAAGAGGGGGTCCTCTACATTACAGACAGACTCAAGGAGCTCATCAAAGTTAAGGGTTATCAGGTAACCATAGTAACCGTAGTAACCATAGTAACCGTAGTAACCATAGTAGCGATACTAGTAACCATAGTAACCGTAGTAACCATAGTAACCGTAGTAACCGTAGTAACCATAGTAACCATAGTAACCACCGTATCTACAGTACTCTATACAGAGTAGTTTAATTTATGAAGGATTATGAAACAACACGACTGATGAAGGCACTCATCAGAGACAGTGCTGATGAAGGCACTCATCAGAGACAGTGCTGATGAAAGCACTCATCAGAGACAGTGCTGATGAAAGCACTCATCAGAGACAGTGCTGATGAAAGCACTCATCAGAGACAGTGCTGATGAAAGCACTCATAAGAGACAGTGCTGATGAAAGCACTCATCAGAGACAGTGCTGATGAAGGCACTCATCAGAGACAGTGCTGATGAAGGCACTCATCAGAGACAGTGCTGATGAAGGCACTCGTCAGAGACAGTGCTGATGAAGGCACTCGTCAGAGACAGTGCTGATGAAGGCACTCATCAGAGACAGTGCTGATGAAGGCACTCATCAGAGACAGTGCTGATGAAGGCACTCATCAGAGACAGTGCTGATGAAGGCACTCATCAGAGACAGTGCTGATGAAGGCACTCATCAGAGACAGTGCTGATGAAGGCACTCATCAGAGACAGTGCTGATGAAGGCACTCATCAGAGACAGTGCTGATGAAGGCACTCATCAGAGACAGTGCTGATGAAGGCACTCATCAGAGACAGTGCTGATGAAGGCACTCATCAGAGACAGTGCTGATGAAGGCACTCATCAGAGACAGTGCTGATGAAGGCACTCATCAGAGACAGTGCTGATGAAGGCACTCATCAGAGACAGTGCTGATGAAGGCACTCATCAGAGACAGTGCTGATGAAGGCACTCATCAGAGACAGTGCTGATGAAGGCACTCATCAGAGACAGTGCTGATGAAGGCACTCATCAGAGACAGTGCTGATGAAGGCACTCATCAGAGACAGTGCTGATGAAGGCACTCATCAGAGACAGTGCTGATGAAGGCACTCATCAGAGACAGTGCTGATGAAGGCACTCATCAGAGACAGTGCTGATGAAGGCACTCATCAGAGACAGTGCTGATGAAGGCACTCATCAGAGACAGTGCTGATGAAGGCACTCATCAGAGAAAGTGCTGATGAAGGCACTCATCAGAGACAGTGCTGATGAAGGCACTCATCAGAGACAGTGCTGATGAAGGCACTCATCAGAGACAGTGCTGATGAAGGCACTCATCAGAGACAGTGCTGATGAAGGCACTCATCAGAGACAGTGCTGATGAAGGCACTCATCAGAGACAGTGCTGATGAAGGCACTCATCAGAGACAGTGCTGATGAAGGCACTCATCAGAGACAGTGCTGATGAAGGCACTCATCAGAGACAGTGCTGATGAAGGCACTCATCAGAGACAGTGCTGATGAAGGCACTCATCAGAGACAGTGCTGATGAAGGCACTGTCAATACAGTTTACTTGGCGAGAGGCGTGATTCAGCTCAGCACTTCAACTTCTACTACCGATATAAATAAGACATGATATTATATGGGCTTAGTAAAACAAAATTGTTTAGTAAAACAAAATTTAAATTTTATTTCCATTACAGTGAATAATGATATCATAATAAGTATGAATAGACATCCGGTAATAAACTTGTTAGGTCCAGATGCCGCCCGACTAACAAAATAAAAAGAGCTAGCTTACATTTCTCTAATTCTCTCTTCTCTGTTATCCGAGAACGTTCAAACGAAAGTTTCACCAACTTTTTAACGGTTCTGCTGGATTAAAAATACAAGACTCTTCTAGTGAACCTTAGTTTCTGCAGTGGATACAGTTATCATGGTAACATGCTGGTTACTGTGGATACAGTATATCTAAAGTGTACAAACTGTGTCATATTACCTTAGGGTCAATAAATTTGGTTACCATAATCTTAGTCACAAATTTCGCAAATTTTTAGTCTACAACAATTTTAGTCACATTTTTCAACTTTTCGAGACCATTTTCTATTCCATTTACATAAACAACGAAAAATTTAGTCTACCCCGTCTGAACATTACTGATTAAGCTGCAATGCATTACTCAGGAATTTCAGTGACATCAGATCCAGAGTTTGTGACTCTGTATCACTAAGTTCTTCAGTACACTGTTCAGTTTCTTTTTCACCCTTTTTCGACTTTACCATTTCTGTCGGTTCGACGTAGTTTATGTCGATATGATCCTTCAGCCGTATCAACAGAGCATGCATTGGGATGGATCGATTAAAAATATAATGTCCAAGAGGAGCTCTAACCCTTTAAGTGCAATAGGACTTTGGTACGGTTTTGTGCAGTAGGCTGTAGGAACGGTGATGTCATTATATTAATTATAAACAATGTAAGCTTAATAATATTCAATATTCATGTCATATGATATGGTCTACTGAAATTTTGGTCTGCTTTGAAATTAGTCGCCGAAAAATTTAGTCTCATGAAATTTGGTTTACAACAATTTTAGTCAAAAGTTTGACTAAATTTATGGCAGACTAAATTTGTCGTTCTTAAGGGGGGGGGGGGGGGGGGGGGGTTCACCCTGATTTTGTTGTGAAACTTGGTTTCGAGATAGCAGTTGACCAACAAACAAGGACCAGTGATCGAACTTTTGAGGGGGTCTCGGACCCCAACCGCCAAACGGTGCCCGCGGGGCAGCCACGCCCATATTTGGTCCAAATTAGGCCCAATTTAGCTAAATAACCTCAACATGCCTGAAACCCAGGTATTAGGTGCTCTACTTGTAGCTAGTGGTCCCCTCAACTCGTATATGAAATTTCATCATGTTTAGACAAAAAATGACTGAGTTATGAGCCAAAAACAATATGCCCATATTTGGGCATACGCACCAAATTTGATCGATTTTGGCCCATAAATTGGTCAAATATCAGTATTTTTGAATGAAACCAACTTTATATAGAAGGTAAGCATATACTTCAAATTCTCTATGATTATCAGCTCAGTATCTACCTAACTGTAAATTCTATTTTCAAATAATCGCAAAAAATATACAAAATTGCCCATATCTCAGTTCGAGATATTTACGAAACTGATTTCGCTCAAAAAAATAGAACTCGATAGGGTTTTAATATTTTTACATGAAATTTTCAGAATCAATGTAAGCATTTCGACCTTAAGTTTTAATATGGAATTTTGAGTTAGGCCTTTATAAAAATTTGGCGGCCAAATTCTGAAATTTGCCGGGAATGTGTTCTAAGTACCCACTACTGACTACCTAGTAACCACCTAGTTACCACCTAGTTACCACCTAGTAACCGCCTAGTTACCGCCTAGTTACCAGCCAGTAACCAGCCATTAACCACTGTGTTCTAAGTACCCACTACCGACTACTACTATTTGTTAGGTAGCACCAGCAGAGTTAGAAGGAGTATTAACATCACACCCGGGTATTGCTGACGCTGCTGTTATTGGTATCCCTGATGAGCGAGCTGGAGAAGTGCCAAAAGCTTTCGTTACTCCCAGCCCTGGAGGTAGGTGTTATCTGCACACAAATAATAATAATATTATATAATTCATTGGTATTTCCATCAACGATTAATCATTGTAGTCATCGATATTCCCAGATGTGTGTCCTGGAAAAATACTGTTATATTTTCTAAAAGTCGTTATTACACAGAAGTGACCACTTTGTGAGGATCATATGACATACATTTCACACTTATCTTACACTTTATAATACGTTACAGCGAATATCACTGAAGAGGATGTGAAGAACTTCATAGCTTCTAGACTTTCTGTTGAGAAACAGCTGGGATCTGTAAGTTACTCACTATGTTATATATAATGTAATCTCATTATATATTCTTGTAATAGTAAATGTGATTCCAGCAGTAATATTATGAATTATCTATAAATTCTCTGTCTCTCATAACTAGTAAGTAACATCTAATTTTAACCGCATAACTCTGTAGTCCTCTCTCAAACCTTTTAAAAATTCAGTCTATAACTTTTATTCGTTTATTCGTTTATTTGTTTATTTTGTTTCATTAATGTGGCAACAGCTCCCCACTGTTAAATGTATTCACTTGTATATACCCTGACGCACACGCGCCTTTTCTTTCAAATGAAGTTTATTAATTCTGTATAATAATATTCAAATCCCTTGGGGCACATACCTTCACCCAGTATGGAATTATCATGTTCTTACTGCTCGATTATGGTACTTTATTACACTACTTTTCTCATGATCCTATTTTTATTCAATGAAAATTGAATATGTCATTAGATTAGTATTTCCAGTGATGATGTAGCAACTGTTTATCGTACTATTTATTACCCGTAGCAAATCATGGCTGACAAATCAGCACTCACAATCACATAGGATACAGTTAGCTAAATGTGTTTACACTACCATATATCACGTTATCGTATTATTATCATGTTAGATTTAATTGTGATCTTGGTTGGTAATAACAAACTCACATTATTTTTACATGGCTATCTGTATTATAAGACACTTATTCACATCAATTACATTATGTTATTAGATGAAAGTTAGTGAGTGTGACTGATTGATTTTCATCTCCAGCACATTCCTCCATTACACTTTCTGATACAGACACTGCCACTTCGCTAATCGGAAATTGAATTTCCCGGTCGTTACTATACGTACGCGGCGAACGACATACGAAAAAAGTATTGTCTGCTCGGCGCGCTAGAACTTGTGGTTTAGCTAGCTAGCGCTAGTGGATATTACAAACGTGAACCGTACTAGCACGGCTAACCTCTATCAATATTATAGAGGCCTTCCAGCGGATATTTAGAGTACGTTACGTTCTATTCTATGAATGCATGATATTTATGGAACTTTGGGTATTGTTAATGTTATTAAACGTAGAAAATCAAAGTGTTCGTTAAATGATAACCAGAATGTCACGTGACCAGAGTAATCATCAATCAGATGTGTCACGTGTCCACATTAATCTAGAGTAATACAGTGGAGTTATGAAATAGTAATTATTAGTGTAATCTGCCAGCTTGCTGACAAGGCGGACCATTAGGCCCGTCATTCAGCGGCGAATCTTTATAATTATCTCATATTACAGGGAGCAGGTGCCACGCTATCTGTTTCCCAATTTACTCTAGCTTTATTCAGAGGGGATACTGTACGAGTGCTGTGACATGTGCTGACCGTGAATTACAGTGGACTGCTTATTTATCTCGTATCTATATAAGTTGACATGGAGGCAACTTCATTACACGACGGCTGCTCTGATTGAATATTTAATATTGCATTGCTGCTCACACATATTGAAGTTCACAGTTGTGCACCATTTTAGTGCTGTCAGGTTTTATTGGGTTGAATTTTAGCGCTCTCTGTAAATTGATTTTATACCTACTTTATACAAGTACTCGAGTAGACTATTCTAGAATATCAAACACGGGTTTAGACTTTAGCCGGTCTGTGGGATCACATGAGATCCCAGTTTAAACTTTATAAGGCATGATTTTCATACATAATCTGAGCAACATAGTGTCATTAAGAATATTGTTTTGCTACTTAAAATTAAGTATCAATCGCAAATGACAGCTGCTCAGTTTTTCAAAGGAGCACCTGTTTGAACTTTTGATTTCTGTGCCAGTTTGTGGTAGTTGTACAGCAATACTAAGGTAATGGGGCTACTGCGGACCCTCCACCGGCCAAACCTTGTTAACAAAGCCGCGGTCAAGGTTTGGTGAACGGTAGTTAAAAGCGCTTAAGGGACATAAGTCAAAGTGGTAGAGCAACATCATGTAGTGGATATCTTGAGGAATGACTAGTAGTTAGGTAGCATGTAAGGTTGCTTCTTCATAAATCGTCTTCCTACTCCGATAATAAATTACATCAAGTCTTGAAAATTATTCGAGAAGAATACCAGTTTATCGTTAACTTAGAGTTAGATTTTTATTTAGCTTTTTTATTTCCCCACTCTCCATGGTAGATTTCCGTTCATTTTAGAGCCTCATTTAATCAGTCGGTCTTACTTAAGAACCTCTCACCCTCTAAGAAAATCTTGATAATTATCTCATATTACAGGGAGCAGGTGTCTTCTTCTTCTTCGTAGGGGGCTGTCGTCAATATCACTAATGGTAAGATCGTGACCACTGTAATGAGTGTAAGATAGAGCATTGGAGCCCTGTGCTTACCCCGGTAAAATTAATAAAGCAAGAAAAAAAATGTTTAGATTTTTGATCCTTGGTAGTGAGAATTTGTCCACTATGTCTGTCACGCTAAGATAAAATGAGCCAAAGTATCCTCGTTGGTAAGACCATTTCGGGCACTGGCCAATAAAGTGGTTCATTGTCTCCTCCTCCATGAGACAGTGTGGACAAATTTTGGGGACCGTTGTCGGCTTGAACTTATTAATGTGGTATTTTAGTTCACAATGTCCAGTAAGGAATTGTGTTGCTGTTCTTGTGCTCTCTTTGCCAAGTTTCGGGATTGATCTGGCGAACTTATGTCTCCATACTCGTTTGAAGTGAGTGTTGGGTAAAGTTCTCCATCTTTCCCTCATTTTCCGGTGACTTATACTCCGCAGCGCTCCCTTCCATAATACCTTTGGTATTGGTAGTTGCACATGAGCGGAGTCCAGGTGTCACGCTCTCTGTTTCCCAATTTACTCTAGCTTTATTCAGAGGGGATACTGTACGAGTTCACTGACATGTGCTGACCGTGAATTACAGTGGACTGCTTATTTATCTCGTATTTATATAAGTTGACATGGAGGTAGCTTCATTACACGACGGCTCTGATTGAATATTTAATATTGCATTGCTGCTCACACATACTGAAGTTTACAGACTATTTTAGAATATCAAACACGGGTCTAGACTTTAGCCGGTCGGGTATCTGGGACCACATGAGATGCTCATTTTAAACTTTATAAGCCATGATTTTCATACATAATCTGAGCAACACAGTGTCATTAATAATATTGTTATAACAACAACAAAGAGATGTTTGGCAGAAAATAAAATCCCTTACAAACAAGAGAGTAAACAGATCTGCGGCAGTGCGGGATAAGAATGGGACACTTATATCAGATCCCGAAGCTCAGTCACATCGCTGGGCCGAATATTTTGAAGAACTCTTGACGCCAGCAGCAGATGCGGTGGATTTCTCTCTATTGGATGAGGACGAAAAGGTACTTTCTTTTGAATATCTTAGTAATGATGATGAGCCACCGTCCTTGTTTGAAATTGAGGAAGCTATCAAGAAGTTGAAGAACTACAAAAGTGCTGGAATTGATGAAATTTCAAATGAGCAGTTAAAGTACGGTTCTCCTGGACTTCTGCCTTGGTTAAAAGATTTGTTTGAAACTGTATGGAAAAGTGAGGATATTCCTAGTGATTGGAGGAAAGGAATCATCACCATCATCCCAAAGAAAGGGGACCTCACATGATTGATTGGGAATCGAGCGGTTTACTCGATTAATGTTTACTCAAAATTATAATACAAACAGTAATAGATAGAAAATAGTAACGTTAAAGAATTCTTTTAAAAAAAACCCTCTGGAAAGGGCACTGCACACGGTTTATCAAAAAGTACACTGTGATCATGAAGTACTATGAACTACAGATTTAAAAAACACAACGCTTCACGCTACACATGATATTACACATCCATAACCTATAGGTTAAGAAGTTTAGAATTGCACTGAACAGCTTGGACTATTGTTTTTAAAATTTTGTGCAAAATTTTACCATCAGTGATTAATGATTTTGGCCGGTAACTCAGCGCTTACAGTAATTATGAGTGCGCGATTGAGATTAATGTATGGAAAAAGAATTTAGCGGCAGTGAAATGCTTGCTTATCTACGCTAAGTGGGGGTAGTTATGCGAGCGGTTATTATATTGGTAGTCAGTAATTGCGAGTTGTCATTTAAATTTGTGTCATTTAGTGTAGTTTCTATGTGCTGGGTTGTGTGATTTTCATACTGCTCCCTGTTGCAAGCCATTAATTAGACAGTAGACTTAATTTAAACTTAGATTATATTCGTTTCAGTTGAAATTCGATTCAGGTTAAATGTTAAAATTTTAAATTTCACGTCTAGACTGTCTTAGGCCAGGAACATTGTGCAGTAGGAATGGTTGCCACTCGTTAACATCACCATCACTTTGAAGATTAAGTAGCATTTTCTTGGCACTACTCTTGAACAGATTTATCGAAAATAATGTCGGAAGTGTAGTAACGTCTGCTTTGTCTGCGAAGACAGAGAGCAGTGGTCCCTTGTAGAAAATACTGTTTTGAAAGTGTCTTTTCCCGTATAACTGGAGCCAGGAGCAGGCTGACGTGTGATCAGAAAGTTTTGTGGGTATGTCGGCGGGAAAAGCTTGAGAGATGTTTTTGGGGACTAATTGTGGCATGTTTTTAACTTTATGCATCAAGATAATTGAGTTGTAAACGATAAGACCATGCACAGTGAGAATTTCATGTTCACTGAAAAATGGCTTTGTGTGTTGTGGTAAGGCACCTTCCTTAAAGTAGTAGTTTACGAAGCCAGGCATAATAGCCCTTATTCCTTGCTTCTGTTTGCTGAATAAAGCATCTATATGGCTTTTTGCAGCAAAACCCCATATCAATGAACAATAGTTTATATGAGATTGTACAAAGCTTTGGTATATCTGGAGTCTAACTTTAATCGGCAGCCGACTTTTTATTTTGTACATAATACCAATATACCGCATCATTTTCGCTTTAAGAGCAGTAATGTGACTGGTCCAGGTCAATTTTTCGTCAACAATTACGCCACGAAATCGGGCCTCAGTTTTTCGCT